CCAATCAAGTTGTAGAAACATCTCAAGGATGATCAATGGAAACAAGATGCACCTGAGCTCAATTTCGAGTCTCATAGCAAAGGGTCTCACCTAAAACAAAAGTGTAAAATCCAGCATCACTCTGGCTTTCGGGAACTCGTGAAACCGAATAAATGAATAGGACTAATTAATTATTTACGAGTGACTAATCAATGTAATAAATCAGTGTATGAAGATTTAAAGCTATATGCTATGTATTTTTGTCAATTTAGCTACAGTGGGGGAAAAAAAGTATTTAGTCAGCCACCAATTGTGCAAGTTCTCCCACTTAAAAAGATTTGAGAGGCCTGTAATTTTAATCATAGGTACACGTCAACTATGACAGACAAATGAGGAAAAAAATCCAGAAAATCACATTGTAGAATTTTTTATGAATTTATTTGCAAATTATGGTGGAAAATAAGTATTTGGTCAATAACAAAAGTGTCTCAATACTTTGTTATATACCCTTTGTTGGCAATGACACAGGTCAAACGTTTTCTGTAAGTCTTCACAAGGTTTTCACACACTGTTGCTGGTATTTTGGCCCATTCCTCCATGCAGATCTCCTCTAGAGCAGTGATGTTTTGGGGCTGTCGCTGGGCAACACGGACTTTCAACTCCCTCCAAAGATTTTCTATGGGGTTGAGATCTGGAGACTGGCTAGGCCACTCCAGGACCTTGAAATGCTTCTTACGAAGCCACTCCTTCGTTGCCCGGGCGGTGTGTTTGGGATCATTGTCATGCTGAAAGACCCAGCCACGTTTCATCTTCAATGCCCTTGCTGATGGAAGGAGGTTTTCACTCAAAATCTCACGATACATGGCCCCATTCATTCTTTCCTTTACACGGATCAGTCGTCCTGGTCCCTTTGCAGAAAAACAGCCCCAAAGCATGATGTTTCCACCCCCATGCTTCACAGTAGGTATGGTGTTCTTTGGATGCAACTCAGCATTCTTTGTCCTCCAAACACGACGAGTTGAGTTTTTACCAAAAAGTTATATTTTGGTTTCATCTGACCATATGACATTCTCCCAATCCTCTTCTGGATCATCCAAATGCACTCTAGCAAACTTCAGACGGGCCTGGACATGTACTGGCTTAAGCAGGGGGACACGTCTGGCACTGCAGGATTTGAGTCCCTGGCGGTGTAGTGTGTTACTGATGGTAGGCTTTGTTACTTTGGTCCCAGCTCTCTGCAGGTCATTCACTAGGCCCCCCCGTGTGGTTCTGGGATTTTTGCTCACCGTTCTTGTGATCATTTTGACCCCATGGGGTGAGATCTTGCGTGGAGCCCCAGATCGAGGGAGATTATCAGTGGTCTTGTATGTCTTCCATTTCCTAATAATTGCTCCCACAGTTGATTTCTTCAAACCAAGCTGCTTACCTATTGCAGATTCAGTCTTCCCAGCCTGGTGCAGGTCTACAATTTTGTTTCTGGTGTCCTTTGACAGCTCTTTGGTCTTGGCCATAGTGGAGTTTGGAGTGTGACTGTTTGAGGTTGTGGACAGGTGTCTTTTATACTGATAACAAGTTCAAACAGGTGCCATTAATACAGGTAACGAGTGGAGGACAGAGGAGCCTCTTAAAGAAGAAGTTACAGGTCTGTGAGAGCCAGAAATCTTGCTTGTTTGTAGGTGACCAAATACTTATTTTCCACCATAATTTGCAAATAAATTCATTAAAAATCCTACAATGTGATTTTCAGGAAAAAAAATTCTCAATTTGTCTGTCATAGTTGACGTGTACCTATGATGAAAATTACAGGCCTCTCTCATCTTTTTAAGTGGGAGAACTTGCACAATTGGTGGCTGACTAAATACTTTTTTTCCCCCACTGTACATTACAGAAGAGTGTTATGATTACCACTGACTTTCTCCATTGGCATTCCAGCATCCTCCAATACCCTGTATCAAGAGCTTGTGCCGAGGGTCCATGAAGTCTGCTTCAGCCTCAGTGATGCCAAAGAACTCATTAAACCTGGGAGATAAACAGAGATACCCAGTACTGATGCATTACACGTCTGGAATTTTTTACTTTGATTTCAACTTTATCTTACCATTGATAGACAAAGTCTCAATGTCAAATATAACAAACAGATACATTGAAAGTTCAAACTCATGTTTTCAATATTCTCCATGACACTTTACAGTTTTAGAACATGCATGTCTTACCCATCTGAGAGCAGCTATGGTTTGTGTCTTCCCAGGTTTGCTATCATCAGGATCAATACCAGGAAGTGCTGTCAAACCTCTCGTCCAGAATGTCCACCACACAGTTCTTGCCTTCCAATAGAACCTTCCAGAAATTGTCAAGCCCCTCACCTAAAACAAAAGTGTAAAATCCAGCATCACTCTGGCTTTCGGGAACTTTAGACAAACACGATTAATCAACTCCTTATTTGGTCCATTCTTACCTCCTGGGAAATTGCATCCTTTCCCAACTATGGCAATGTCATCTTCGGTATCATCCATCTTTACTTCTCATTACAACAGTACTTCTTTGAGAAGAGGTCAAATAATTTGACCTTGAGAACAGTCTTTCATGTGTTTTACCTCCTATCCAAAGAAGTTGTGTTGAATAGAGGATGGTGTTTCTAAGTCCCTCAAAGTTTTGTCAAAAGCAACACTTTCAGCAAACCAGTTTCTACTTGCAGCTGAACCATTCTTGTTGGAGCTCAGTGACTTGTGTGTTCTACCCCTGATCCTCTTTAGAAACCAGATAACGTCTCATTGATCACAAGGACCTGTATCAAGACAAAGGGAGCAGTGGTCCCAACAGTAGATTGAGTTGTTAAAAAGAAGCATTTGAGCAATTGTCCTGCTCTTCAATTAGGGTCATTTGAAACATAAGTCACTAATTGCAGGCTTCAGTTGAGATGAGTTTTTGTTAAGGTGCTTGTTATAAAGAAGACAATGGATGTGTGTGTTCTCTCTTCTGTGGCCCTGTCTTTTTTTAATCGACATCTCTTCTTTCAGTGATCATCTTTATGAAACATATCCAGATTAACCAGGTAAAATGGACGTGTTGACAAAAACACTCTATTGTCTATATAATATCAGACTAATTGCATCTGAGGGGAAGGAGAGCCAGGCTTTTCACTCAAGGGGAACCGACACAAAGCTGACTACAGACAGTCGGTCATGATAGACAGCCAGTGTTTCCTGTGATTGAGGCTAATTTGGCTAACAACAAGAGCACAGTCTCAGGTCAGAGTATCCAACATCAGGTCGTTAAAAAGGTCCAAGAATAGCAGGACGATGCACCCACACGGAGTATCTGTGCAAGGGTACGCTTCACTCTGCTGCAACGTGACAGCTGCACGACCAAAACAGCAAAAAATAGGTTTAGTTTAGGTTGTTGTTGTTGCAGAAGTCGGACTGATATTGTGCGTCGCTGACTCTCTTACCTTGAAAAAAGGTAATTCGCGCTTGAGCTGACATCCACAGCGGTTACCTTGAACGCAATCCCCGCAAACCTTAAAGGAAATTGCCTTTTTTTTTTTTTAAAAAAAAGGCACATTGTTGTCAGTATGCAATTGAATGAATCCCAGCCAAAGTCTCACGACCAGTGACCAATCTCAATAAGAACAGCATGATTTTAGAACAACTTTAATTTGAGCTTCCAATGAGGAGAAACAGACGAAGTACCTCACATTACCTTTACATCTTAGGCTCAGACACAAGGGCCCAACATGTTTATATTGAACTACATACAGTGAATGCAGATGAATTCCTTTACACTCAAGAGGGGAAAAAAAAAAAGTCCACAATTCACCGATGATGAATCACATAGGGGACAGAACACTGATACAGCCATTCTGTATTTAGATTCTAGAATGTATATTGAAGTCGTATGGTTCTAATGATAACCCCATATTTTATGGTAGGTGTTTCTAATCACTAATATTCTGCTCAGTGAAAAGGCTATTAGATCTAGTTGGATAAGATCTGCAACCAATTGTTTTCCCTCAACTTTGATAGCATCCCAAATACAAGAGGATTCCAATGCACAAAACTGCTAAAGAAAAACAATTGTGCGATAAAGATCCTATTGGTGTGAACTTTCTTTTGCTGAGGGACGATTGGGCCGTTCACATGCTGCTGAAACCTTTTTCCAACTGGGAAGTTTCACCTGAACGACCCTCCAAGTCGTAATTACAAGTGGCAAACCGAAGTTGCGACATTTAACCACAGGCCTTTCACCTTTTCAACCAAAAGATAACAAATTCATTTTTTTGACAATTACAAACTTATCAATGTGGATAAAGTAGCTAGTTTGACCATATTGGCAATGTTTAGCAAGCTAGCTAACTTATCAAGCCAGCTAAAATCTTTATTGGTTGAAGAATTGGTCCGACTTCAAAAGCACTTGAACACAACCATATCAGATTTACGAATTCCCACTTTCCCAGGAACACATGAATGCCCCATAATGCAGCACTTTCTTGATTGATACTGTATATACAAACATTTCAAGGGGGCAAACTCACAATCTCAGACTGCAAACCAATATGAAATGGGGAGGGTTGGGGGGCGCAATGTCAATATCAACAACAACAAAATCACGGCATTGAAAGGGCATTTTTGAGCTTAGGGTGTTAAAAAGAACCTAGCGATAGGTTTGTCTCTTGACGACGCTCCCAACATGAATGGTTCAGACAGAGGAGTCAATATCACGAGGGATGAACAAACACAAATAAAGTTATTCATTTTCATTGAGAGAGAAAATAAACTATACAAAGCCTCTAAAGGCCACGCAATTGCACGTCTTCATATTTTACATAATTCAGATAAATGTGTAACAGGGTTGGGGTCAAATCCATTCCAGGGCTTTGCCCAGCGAGTCATCTAGGGTCCAGGGCTTTGCCCAGCGAGTCATCTAGGGTCCAGGGCTTTGCCCAGCGAGTCATCTAGGGTCCAGGGCTTTGCCCAGCGAGTCATCTAGGGTCCAGGGCTTTGCCCAGCGAGTCATCTAGGGTCCAGGGCTTTGCCCAGCGAGTCATCTAGGGTCCAGGGCTTTGCCCTCTAGGACCAGCTTGATCTCTTTGGCATCCAGAGTTTCGTACGTCAGCAGAGCCTCTGCCAGCGTCTTGTGCTCATCACTGTAGGTCTTCAAGAGGTTTTTGGCTCGCTCATATGAGTCCTAGATAGGAGAGAGAGAGAGAGTGAATATTGAAAAAAACGATTATTTAGAAAGTTGAATGATTATTGGTTGGTTGACACAATAATTAACTACACTGAACAAAAATATAGAGGCAACATGTAAAGTGTTGCTCCCATGTTTCATGAGCTGAAATAAAAATATCCCAGAACTGTCCCATACGCACAAAAAGCTTTTCTCTCTCAGATGCTGTGCACAAATTTGTTTACATCCCTGTTAGTGAGGATTTCTCCTTTGCCAAGATAATCCATCCACCTGACAGGTGTGGCATATCAAGAAGCGGATTAAACAGCATGATCATTACACAGGTGCACCTTGTGCTGGGGACAATAAAAGGCCACTCTAAAATGTGCAGTTGTGTCAAACAACAATGCCACAAATGTCTCATGTTGAGGGAGCATCCAATTGGCATGCTGACTGCAGGAATGTCCACCAGAGCTGTTGTCAGAGAATGTTATGTTATTTTCTCTACTATAAGACGCATCCGTCGTCGTTTTAGAGAATTTGGCAGTACGTCCAACCGGCTTCACAACCGCAGACCACGACTTCACCTGCGGGATCACCTGAGATCAGCCACCCGGACAGCTGATGAAACTGTGGGTTAGCACAAACAAAGAACTTCTGCAAAAACTGTCAGAAACGTCTCAGGGAAGCTCATCTGCGTGCTCGTCGTCCTCACCAGGGTCTTGACCTGACTGCAGCAAATGCTCACCTTCGATGGCCACTGGCACACTGGAGAAGTGTGCTCCTCACGGATGAATCACAGTTTTAACTGTACCGGGCAGATGGCAGACGTGTGGGCGAGCGGTTTGCTGATGTCAACGTTGTGAACAGAATGATCCATGGGGGCGGTGGGGTTATAGTATGGGCAGGCATAAGCTACGGACAACGAACACAATTGCATTTTATCGATGGCAATTTGAATGCACAGAGATACCGTGACGAGATCCTGATGCCCGTTGTCGTGCCATTCTTCCGCCACCATCACCTCATGTTTCAGCATGATAATCCACGGCCCCATGTCGCAAGGATCTGTACACAATTCCTGGAAGCGGAAAATGTCCCAGTTCTTCCATGGCCTGCATACTCAAAAGACATGTCTCCCATTGAGCCTGTTTGGAATGCTCTGGATCGACGTGTACGACAGCATGTTCCAGTTCCCGCCAATATCCAGCAACTTTGCACAACCATTGAAGAGGAGTGGCACAACATTCCACAGGCCACAATCAACAGCCTGATCAACTCTATGCGAAGGAGATGTGTCGCGCTGCACGAGGCAAATGGTGCTCACACCAGATACTGACTGGTTTTCTAATCCATGCCCTTACCTTTTTTTTAAGGCATCTGTGACCAACAGATGCATATATGTATTCCCAGTCGTGAAATCCATAGATTAGGGCCTAATGAATTCACTTCAATTGACTGATTTCCTTATATGAACTGTAACTGATGAAAATACTTGAAAATTGTTGCATGTTGCGTTTATATTTTTGTTTAGTATAGATAGGATTTAACATTTAACAAATGTGCAGTGGGGGAAGGTTTGGGAAGCTTACCTTAAGCAGGACCCTGACTTCCTGTTCGATGGCGGCTTGCGTCTCGGGGCTCTGTTTGGTCACTTCAGCATAGGTCATGACACCAAGCTGAAACAATGAGATTTAGTCTCAGGGTTAGGGGCACAGCAGACCACTTATGCAACATCTACTCCTAGGCCCTGCGATAGACTAGCGTCCTGTCCAGGGGGTGGACTTGTACATCAATCTGCCTCACGCTACAGAAACAGGAAATAGGGTCATGCTCCTATGAGCCGTTCCGGCACGCACAAGCCAAGGCTCGTGCAAGGCTAAATCCTTCCTTACTTATAGTAATAAACAGTGTAAGGCCGCATGGGTTGCCAGGTCTGTGGCACAGTAAATCAGTCACTAATTTCAGCGTTGCCTGGTGTGTGGCACAGTAAAATCAGGCACTCATTTCAGGGTTGCCAGGGCAGGTTAAGTAAATGTTTGGACCAAAAGAATCAGAGAGCTGGAGGACATTGATGAGGTTTATCAACAACAACAAAAAAATATCCCTCTAATAAAATTGCTCCTCCTTACGCATTTCAAAATTACATTTGACCCAAGAATTGTATACATGATAAGTTCTGTGGTTGCCATGGCGCCACGAGGAAGCCTAGGCAGAGAGCTGTGGTACACTTAGTATTATTTTGTTGTTTGAAGTGTTTAATAATTGTAATAATTCTAATCAACTTTTTGTTTTCGATAACTTCTTAAGCTTTACTGAGCTAAAATATCTGGTGGTCTTGACCCAAAGTTGCTGGACTAATGGCAAGTTAGTTTTTTTGGGGGGGGGCTAGATAGCTATGCTAGCTTTCTACACCGCTTTTTTTTGTTCCACCTTCCCCGGTTTTCGGAATGTGATGAGGGGATGCCGAGGTCTGAGGGGATGCAGCTCGCCTCATAGGATGACTATTACTGATGTACGGTGGCCTTTCAGGGCACTGAGCTGAGCCTACAGCCGACCAAGCATCACCCAGGTGGGTAGTTGATGATCCTGCCAACCTACGGAGGAGGAGGATATTGTTGAAGGTGCCTGATGAAGAGCTCCGGGTCAGACTCTCTGACTGACGCTTCTCCCTCCCTGTCCCATCCACATTCAGCCTTCACTTATCAACACTAGCCATCGGCTGTGGAAGACCATCGCATAAGTCAAGAACTGCCACTGCCGGAACCCTACTTTTGTTTTTAAAGCGTCTGAGATTCTCTTTGTAACATCAAATACGTCTATTATTATTATCCTAATAACCTCAGTAGACTATGGTCTGTGGATACGAGGTGAGTAGCAGAGTCGAGTCGGGAACACAGGGAAAGGGTGAAAGTCTGCACCGCAGCCACATCGCTGAGAGATCCCTCCAATCACATGCAATGCCTGAGAACGGCATTTCTGCACAAAGGCAACGCTGCCTTCTAGATTTACGGATACGGCCTTTGAGGAATAAGCCTTTGGTGAAACGAAATGAAATGTATTTTGCCCGTCTAAAATGCAGACTGATAGAAAAAAAGGCAGTTATGAACGATTTCTCATCTTCAATCTACCATTTTATGCGCACGAGGTATAATCTCTTACCTTGTCACTCATTCCGAACCTGGTCACCATCATCTTGGCTATTCTAGTTGCCCCGTCAAAGTCACTTGACGCTCCTGGAAAACAGAGCCACCGCAATACAAGAGTAAGGATAAATAAAAATGGTAACAAAGCATGCACCCCCTGCCACTGTTTTGGTAAACAGCTGAGGGATGGGGCTGGAGAAATGTAACCACTCAAATTCATAGACAGAGCTAAGGACGCCATCCATGTTCTCCAAATAGTTGAGGCTATCCAGTGCTTGGTTACAATTGCATTGTTGACAAACAACGGAGTAAAACAAAGCTTATATTTTGGGGTTCTGATGGGGTACGACAGTTGAACTAAGCTCATGGAGGCATTTATAAGTTACATTCTTCAAGAATCAAAATGGGTATAAATCATTCATTTAAAAGTCCCAAAATTGATGAAGCAATATGCTCTACAGCTAAACCCCAACCGAACTAGGCTTTCCCCCTCACCGGTCGTGATGTAATCGTCGCCGAAGATGAGTTCCTCGGCCACGCGGCCGCCCATGCTGACGTCCATCTGGGCCAGGAGCTGAGCACGCGTCTCACTCCAACGGTCATTCTCTGGGAGCATGGACACCTAAACAGACAGATAAGGAAGGACTTAGTCTTTCGAGACCATCCATTTTTTGGTAAACCATTGCATAATAGTAGTTCTCTGTTCCTCCTGAACTGTTTTAAGGCAAGCCCCCTGGAGCTGCCAACATCCAAACATTTAACAGAGGCCAACTTCTTTCAGGAAGTCCAGGGCAACAGCGCTAAGGGGGGGGGGGGGCTAAGTAATGGCAGAAGGGACAATGCATTTATTCTGCAAGGTTGTTTACTATATAATGGAGCACATTTAGCTTTGCAATTCGAAACATGGATGAAATGTAACAAATTAAGACATTGTTAAATCAGAGGAGAAGTCATGTCAAAGCAAGTGGGATGATTCCATGGTGATATACGACTGCTTCAAACACTTAAATTATACCATTAATTAATTAATTATACCATATACAACGGCTTCAAAAAAAACGTATTGACCAATCAAAACGCAATGCTCAGTACTACTCACATGGCCAAGAGTGGGCCCTCTGGGCATGATGGTGGCCTTGTTGATGGGCATGGCGTCTTTGGTGTAATACGCCACAATAGCGTGGCCCGACTCGTGGTAGGCTGTGATTTGCTTGTTCTTCTGATCGATGTCCACACTCCTGCGCTCAGGACCTTCAGTGTACAGAGAGACCCGCTTTGGTTAATTAAAAACACTCATCATTCACATTATCGCAGTGCAGGTTTAACTCCAGTACGTTTTACTGAATTCCAACCTGAAAAGACAGGAGCACCCAACTCCTGAGAAAATATCTGTCCTAGAGAATGAGGGGGGGGGGGGGGGGGGGGGGATCCAGACCAGACAGGCGTTAATTGACCTGACATTCTAACCATCTAGATTAGAATGTCTCTTAACCAGAGACTCTGTCGTTAAGCTCGCTCACGTGGCAGGGTGTGTGTGTGTATGCATGAAAACATACATGAAATGAGTTTGAATTGAAACTATAGGAAAATGCATAGGAAATGTAGTCATTGACAAGGTCAGAAGTAATGACTTTTAATGGAAATAATAATTGTGTCCTTCAAACTTTGCTTTCGTCAAAGAATCCTCCATTTGCAGCAATTACAGCCTTGCAGACCTTTGGCATTCTAGTTGTCAATTTGTTGAGGTAATCTGAAGAGATTTCACCCCATGCTTCCTGAAGCACCTCCCACAAGTTGGATTGGCTTGATGGGCACTTCTTACGTACCATACGGTCAAGCTGCTCCCACAACAGCTCAATAGGGTTGAGATCCGTTGACTGTGCTGGCCACTCCATTATAGACAGAATACCAGCTGACTGCTTCTTCCCTAAGTAGTTATTGCAAAGTTTGGAGCTGTGCTTTGGGTCATTGTCCTGTTGTAGGAGGAAATTGGCTCCAATCAAGCGCCGTCCACAGGGTATGGCATGGCGTTGCAAAATGGAGTGATAGCCTTCCTTCTTCAAGATCCCTTTTACCCTGTACAAATCTCCCACTTTACCACCACCAAAGCACCCTCAAACCAATCACATTGCCTTCACCATGCTTGACAGATGGCATCAAGCACTCCTCCAGCATCTTTTCATTTGGTCCGAGTCTCACAAATGTTCTTCTTTGTGATCCGAACACCTCAAACTTCGATTTGTCTGTCCATAACACTTTTTTCCAAGCTTCCTCTGTCCAGTGTCTGTGTTCTTTTGCCCATCTTAATCTTTTATTTATATTGGCCAGTCTGAGATATGGCTTTTTCTTTGCAACTCTGCCTAGAAGGTCAGCATCCCGGAGTCGCCTCTTCACTGTTGACATTGAGACTGGTGTTTTGCGGGTACTATTTAATGAAGCTGCCAGTTGAGGACCTGTGAGGCATCTGTTTCTCAAACTAGACACTAATGTATTTGTCCTCTTGCTCAGTTGTGCACCGGGGCCTCCCACTCCTCTTTCTATTCTGGTTAGAGCCAGTTTGCACTGTTCTGTGAAGGAAGTAGTACACAGCGTTGTACGAGATCTTCAGTTTCTTGGCAATTTCTCGCATGGAATAGCCTTCATTTCTCAGAACAAGAATAGACTGACGAGTTACAGAAGAAAGTTCTTTGTTTCTGGCCATTTTGAGCCTGTAATTGAACCCACAATTGCTGATGCTCCAGATACTCAACTAGTCTCAAGAAGGCCAGTTTTATTGCTTCTTTAAATCAGCACAACAGTTTTCAGCTGTGCTAACATAATAGCAAAATTGTTTTTTAAACCCTTTTAAAATGATAAACTTGGATTAGCAAACACAATGTGCCATTGGAACACAGGAATGATGGTTGCTGATAATGGGCCTCTGTACGCCTATGTAGATATTCCATTAAAAATCAGCCGTTTCCAGCTACAATAGCCATTTACAACATTAACAATGTCTACACTGTATTTCTGATCAATTTGATATTTTAAAATGGACAATTTCTTTTTGCTTTTCTTTCGAAAACAAGGACATCTCTCAGTGACCCCAAACTTTTGAACGGTAGTGTACATACACAGTACCAGTCAAAAGTTTGGACACACCTACTCATTCAAGGGTTTTTCTTTATTTTTTACTATTTTCTACATTGTAAAATAACAGTGAAGACATCAAAACTATGAAATAATACAAGGAATCATGTAGTAACCACAAGTGTTAAACAAATCAAAATAGATTTTAGATTCTTCAAAGTAACCACCCTTTGCCTTCATGACAGCTTTGCAGACTCTGGAATGCTTTCCCAACACTCTTGAACACTCTCACGCTTTTCCTTTACTCTGCGGTCCGACTCATCCCAAACCATCTCAATTGGGTTGAGGTCGGGTGATTGTGGAGGCCAGGTCATCTGATGCAGCACTCCATCACTCTCCTTGGTCAAATAGCCCTTACACAGCCCGGAGGTGTGTTTTGGGTCATTGTCCTGTTGAAAAACAAATGATAGTCCCACTAAGCGCAAACCAGATGGGATGGCGTAGCGCTGTAGAATGCTGTGGTAGCCATGCTGGTTAAGTGTGCCTTGAATTCTAAATAAAATCACAGACAGTGTCACCAGCAAAGCACCCCTACACCTCCTCCATGCTTCACGGTGGGAACCACACATGCGGAGATCATCCGTTCACCTATGCTGCGTCTCACAAAGACATGGAGGTTGGAACCAAAAATCTCAAATTTGGACTTATCAGACCAAAGGACAGATTTCCACTGGTCTGATGTCCATTGCTCGTGTTTCTTGGCCCAAGCAAGTCTCTTCTTCTTATTGGAATCTTTTAGTAGTGGTTTTATTGCAGCAATTCGACCATGAAGGCCTGATTCATGCAGTCTCCTCTGAACAGTTGATGTTGAGATGTGTCTGTTACTTGAACTTTGTGAAGCATTTATTTGGGCTGCAATTTCTGAGGCTGGTAACTCTAATGAACTTATCCTCTGCAGCAGAGGTAACTCTGGGTCTTCCATTCCTGTGGCGGTCCTCATGAGAGCCAGTTTCATCATAGCCCTTGATGGTTTTTGCGACTGCACTTGAAGAAACTTTCAAAGTTCTTGAAATGTTCCGGATTGACTGACCTTCATGTCTTAAAGTAATGATGGACTGTGGTTTCTCTTTGCTTATTTGAGCTGTTCTAGCCATAATATGGACTTGGTCACAACACAACTGATTGGCTCAAAACTTATTAAGGAAAGAAATTCCACAAATTCACTTAACAAGGCACACCTGTTAATTGAAATGCATTCCAGGTGACTACCTCGTGAAGCTGGTTAAGAGAATGCCAAGAGTGTGCAAAGCTGTCATCAAGGCAAAGGGTGGCTACTTTGAAGAATCTCAAATATATTTTGATTTGTTTAAACACTTTTTTGGTTACTACATGATTCCATATGTGTTATTTCATAGTTTTGATGTCTTCACTATTATTCTACAATGTAGAAAATAGTAAAAATTAAGAAAAACCCTGGAAAGAGTAGGTGTGTCCAAACTTTTGACTTGTACTGTATGTATGTATGTATGTATGTATGTATGTATGTATGTATGTATGTATGCATGCATGCATGTATGTATCTGTGTGGGTGTGCCTGTCTACCTGCGTGTGTGTGTGTGTGTGTGCGCGTGCGTGTGTGCGCGCGTGCGTGTGTGCGTGCGTGTGTGCACCCACCCATGAGGATCTTGTCCTTGGAGAACTCCAGCTCCTTCATAGTGACCTGGTCCAGGCCGTCCACCGCTGCCTTCAGGGCCGCCTGGTTCACCAGGTTCTCCAGCTCCGCCCCGGTGAAGCCCACCGTCCCTCTGGCAATGATCTTGGCGTTCACGTCTGAACACACACCCAGCAGGGCCAAAAGCAGGATGTTGTCAGTCCAAAACAGTGGGCTCTTTCATGCAGCCAATTTTGGGGGGGGGGGGGGGTAGCCGTGATACCTAGTGATCAGAACCTCTCGACTACAGTCGCTATGATACATTAGTCAGCGGATATACTGTCTAAGCCAGGGGTTTTCAAATCTCTCCTCAGGGGACCCCAAGCCGTTCCATGTGTTTGAACTATTCCACTCTTGATTCAACTTGTCAACTAATCAAGCCCTTCACTAGTTCAGGGCTACAACAACATTGTGAAACGTCTGGGGGTCCTCAAGGAGAGATCTGAAAGCCACTGATCTAAGCAACTGATATGAGACCTACTAGGATCCACTTTGATCTTCTGCAGGTACCAGTTGAGGATCTCCGTACGTCCTTTCACGTCCGGACGAGGCACGGTCACCTGCATGTCAAACCTCCCCGGACGTACCAGCGCACTAAAAAAAGACACAGGAGAGTAATGGGCTAATGATCCAGAGTAATGGGCTAATGATCCAGAGTAAGTACCAGTGGGCTATGACAGAAAGTATTCACCCCCCCTTGGTATTTTTCCTATTTTGTTGCCTCACAACCTGGAATTAAAAATGATTTTTTTGGGGGGTTGTATCATTTCATTTACACAACATGCCTACCACTTTGAAGATGCACAATATTTTTTTGGGGTTAAACAAACAAGAAGACAAAAAAACAGAACTTCAGCATGCATAAATATTCACCCCCCCAAAGTTAATACTTTGTAGAGCCACCTTTTGCAGCAATTACAGATGCAAGTCTCTTGGGGTATGTCTCTATAAGCTTGGCACATCTACCCACTGGTATTTTTGCCCATTCTTCAAGGCAAAACTGCTCCAGCTCCTTCAAGTCGGATGGGTTCCGCTGGTGTACAGCAATCTTTAAGTCATACCACAGATTCTCAATTGGATTGAGGTCTGGGCTTTGACTAGGCCATTCCAATACATTTAAATGTTTCCCCTTAAACCACTCGAGTGTTGCTTTAGCAGTATGCTTAGGGTCATTGTCCTGCTGGAAGGTGAACCTCCGTCCCAGTCTCAAATCTCTGGAAGACAAACAGGTTTCCCTCAAGAATTTCCCTGTATTTAGCGCCATCCATCATTCCTTCAATTCTGAACAGTTTCCCAGTCCCTGCCGATGAAAAACATCCCCACAGCATGAAGCTGCCACCACCAAGCTTCACTGTGGGGATGGTGTTCTCAGGGTGATGAGAGGTGTTGGGTTTGCGACAGACATAGCGTTTTCCTTGATGGCCAAAAAGCTCAATTTTAGTCTCATCTGACCAAGAGTACCTTCTTCCATATGTTTAGGGAGTCTCCCACATGCCTTTTGGCGAACACCAAACGTGTTTGCTTATTTTCTTCTTTAAGCAATGGCTTTTTTCTGGCCACTCTTCCATAAAGCCCAGCTCTGTGGAGTGTACGGCTTAAAGCGGTCCTATGGACAGATACTCCAATATCCGCTGTGGAGCTTTGCAGCTCCTTCAGGGTTATCTTTGGTCTCTTTGTTGCCTCTGATTAATGCCCTCCTTGCCTGGTCTGTGAGTTTTGGTGGGCGGCCCTCTCTTGGCAGGTTTGTTGGTGTGCCATTTTCTTTCATTTTTTTTTAAATAATGGATTTAATGGTGCTCCGTGGGATGTTCAAAGTTTCTGATATTTTTTTACAACCCAACCTTGATCCACAACTTTGTCCCTGACCTGTTTGGAGAGCTCCTTGGTCTTCATGGTGCCGCTTGCTTGGTGGTGCCCCTTGCTTACTGGTGTTGCAGAATCTGGGGCCTTTCAGAACAGGTGTATATATACTGAGATCATGTGACAGATCACGTGACACTTAGATTGCACACAGGTGGACTTTATTTAAGTAATTATGTAACTTCTGAAGGTAATTGGTTGCACCAGATGTTATTTAGGGGCTTCATATCAAAGGGGGTGAACACATATGCACGCACCACTTTTCTGTTAATTCGTTTTTAGAATTTTTTGAAACAAGTAATTTTTTTCATTTCACTATTTTGTGTATGTCCATTACATGAAATCCAAATAAAAATCCATTTAAATTACAGGTTGTAATGCAACAAAATAGGAAAAACACCAAGAGGAAATGAATACTTTTGCAAGGCACTGTAATGGGCTAATGAACCAGAGAGCTGACATGTTGTATACAATTCAAACTAAGTACCTGCTCCAATCTCAAACGTGTCAATGACAAATGCATTCTTTATTTACCTTTAGCCTTGTGATTCTACAATGAAATAAAAAGCTTCTCCGTCAATGGAGCGGTTCTATTTCCATCCTATTCAAAATGGATTTGTTCCATTTATACAGCTTTTTGGATTTTTATCTCAAGGATAACTGTTTTAGGGCGACTTTTCCAGTAATCTCACCGACGACATCTTTCACATTGAGGAGGATCATGGTAAAAGGCGGCATCAGTTCTCTGGGCGCATGGGAAGTGTAGTTCCCGCTGGAAGTGTAGTTCCCGCTGTGCAATTTGCTCCAATTAACCACCCAGCCTTACTCCCATGTGACCCCCCACATTTCATGTGTGATTTTGCGACTGAGCTGAAAATCCAGCGGTCTGAAACTTTAAGACTAGACAGCCAACCAAACCAGCCAGCCAGATCCTGACAAAGGGACCTAATGGGCTGATGAAAAGCCTATAGAAACACCTGTTACTACACACTGTAAACATACTTATCCAAAGCCTCCGCAAAGTTTGTAGCGCCAATAACGATGACCCCTTCGTTTGGTTTGAACCTGTTAAAGTATCAACACATTGAATGAGGAAAATGCAAGCCTTGTGATTAGCATCAGGTAAACTTAAAAATCCAGCTTAAATTTATCTAAGTTCTCTGACGCAATAGCTATATACGGTATATTCTTAAAATGTTTCTTACCCGTCCATCTCTGCCAGTAGCTGGTTGATGGTCTGTCTGGAGTAGGGGTGCATGGGAGACTCAATCCTCTTTCCCCCCACGCTGTCAAGCTCATCAATGAAGACAACACAAGGTGCGTTGGCTTTTGCGTCTTCTGCAGACCAAACAGAAAGAGAGAGAGAGAGTTTTAGGCTGTGTCCCTCCTTTCCTCCATTCCTCTGCTTCATGGACACTGATCAAAAAAGTACTTGATAGGTGAAAGCCATATTGTGGAATGACTGTGTGACACGTTGGAAACTAATGGAATCACTTTAACGCGTTATCCCTTGGGTTGTACTCAGTGCATCTTTTTTCCCAATAAAAATCAATAAAAATTAAACCTATCAGGTCCTTTCATCAAATCAGCTATCACGAGTGACAGGGTGAAGGTTGGTCAGTCAGTGTATTGATGCAGTACATAGGGTTAGATCTCTTCTGGGACTCACTGAAGAGGTTCCTGATGCGGCTAGCGCCGACACCCACAAACATCTCGTCAAACTCGGATCCCGATGCGTAGAAGAACGGGACGTCGGCCTCGCCGGCTACAGCCCGAGCCAGGAGAGTCTTTCCTGTGCCTGGGGGGCCAATCAGGAGGACGCCTGACAGAACCAGAGGCCACAAAAATAGTGAAACATATGGACACATTGACAGAAATAGATGTAATGGCAGTGGGTAAAAGGACCATACAGATAGGGAGGGGTGCAAGATAACCAAATAAGTAGTAAGGAAGTAGCTTTGGCTTGTGGACATCTCTGCTGATCTCATAAGTAAGGAAGTAGCTTTGGCTTGTGGACATCTCTGCTCATCTCATAAGTAAGGAAGTAGCCTTAGCTTGTGGACATCTCTGCTTTCTATAATATAATAATAATAATAATAATAATAATAAGCCATTTAGCAGACGCTTTTATCCAAAGCGATTTACAGTCATGTGCGCATACATTTTTACGTATGGGTGGTCCCGGGGATCGAACCCACTACCCTGGCGTTACAAGCGCCATGCTCTACCAATTGAGCTACAGAGGACCACACAGTGTAGTGTGAGGCAGCTTAATGTACGAATACACCCCCTGGACAGGACTGTAGTCTATCGTAGGGCCTTACCCCCAATCTATCTCCTGTTTCTGTAGAATACACCCCCTGGACAGGACTGTAGTCTATCGTAAGGCCTTACCCCCAATCTACCTCCTGTTTCTGTAGAATACACCCCCTGGACAGGACTGTAGTCTATCGTAAGGCCTTACCCCCAATCTATCCCCTTAATGCTGAGTGCCAAGTAGAGACACATTGGGTCCCATTTTTACATTCTTTGGTATGACTCAGCCGGGGATCGAACTCCCATCCTCAGGGCGGAAGCTAACAAAAAGGCCACCGGGTTAGTAGAAGATAAGTGAACGTCTACGGAGTATTCTTTCCATTTACAGAAAGACACCTGACCTTTAGGCAGTTTCCCTCCCAGCACGGTGAACTTCTGGGGGTTTCTGAGGAACTCCACCACTTCCTGCAGTTCGTTCTTGGCCTCCTCCACCCCCTTGACGTGCTCAAACGTCACGCTCTTCACCTGGACCGGGTCCACTTGTGAGTCCAGGCCCGACGTGGTGCGGAACCTCACTGTTCAGTGCAGAAACGACAACAACTCAGTCAGACACCACCTGGGAATAGTCCTCTACTTAGCATAGAAACTATGCTAGAATAACATGAACTAGTGATTTTGTTAATACCACTCTCCTCTTCCACTCAAATATATTCAAATATAAATTTACTATTCAATCATTCATTGTTAAAAAATGACCAAAAGGTGGAGTTTCTAATAAACACCATCAGCTAGTGCCAGACAGTTGACTGATAATTGATCATATATTTTGGGAGCATGATCAGTGGAACAGCAGCCCATTCAACCATTGCTCTTTATGATAAAAAGCACAAACACAATGCGGTGATTCATGCAAGCGTAGGAATTCAATAGAACACAAACCAGCATCAGAAAAGGAGCCTTTACCCGATAGAAACGGGCTTCTTGACAGGCCATAGATTCCCACGAGGAGGAGGACCAATAGAATCAGCCTGGTCCTCCTTAGTGAGTCTGTCAATGGAAGATAGAAAAATGAGTTACTGCATTAGAGGGTAAGAGATTCAGTTCAACTCAGCAGTGCCATCTTGTGAACACATGGTGGAACTGCTAGTGGTGGCCATGGGCTTAGTGCGTCACCATAACTGGCAGTCATGATTGACTTCAAGAAGGAGCAAATCTGCTACGAGCTGGGGCAGGGGTTAAAAATATTAGCCTTCACTTTAAAAAAATGTTTCTTAATGATGACTAACACTATCCCTTTAAAGACAGTGCAACATTAACTTCATGTTAGCCACTGTAGGAAGGGAATATGCTGAGTGACTAAGATGCCATGTATGAAGAGAGTTGTGCGACGTGCCGTGTGTCCTCTGAGTGAAGGCCTGGGACCTCATGAAGCCCTCAGTGAAGCCAGTCTTGAAGGCATCTTGTTGGTCACCTGGCAGGTTCTTCTGCTTTACCATGTGGTCCAGACTCTCTGCCTCTGGGGCCTTGTCTGGTCTCATGAGGAGACCCTGTGACGGGGTGTGTGGGTGTGATAATGGGAGAGAGAGCATAATGTATGTGTGTCAGTGGGGGTGAGTGAGTGAGAGAAAGACAGGGAGGAAAGCAAGAGGTTGAACATGAAACAATGAGATGAATGGGCCCAGACAGAGTGGTCATAAGACATAAAACAGCCCTTTTCACATGAGGGGAGCCAAGCAACAACAACAACAAAAACTATGTGTGAAAAATCGGAACAAGGACACAGAGAAAAATGGTTGGGAAATCCCTCTAAAACTGTGTCACGATTTTACAACACATTACAGTACGTGCCAATCTTCACGTTGAAGGGGAAATTCCGGTAAACTTGAGGACAACAAAACAGATCCAGTGGGTTCATTGACTGCATGCCAAACTATGTCTGTCCAAGAGGGGATTTGGGGAGTGTGTGACTTATGCAGTGTGTAACACTTGCTGACCTTCATGAATGTTGTGGTGTAGCCCTCTGGTTCCGCCGGCCTCTGGTAACCGGACTCCACACGTCTGCTCTTCCTCAGAGTCTTGAAGCCTCGGTTCTGGACCCTTACTGAAGGAAAGGCCAAATACAACACTATTCATTTCACTATGTTATGTCACAGGGGGAAAACATGATCGCTTGCGAGTGGGTGTATTCGTTTTGCGTCGCCCGGGGTGGGTGGAGATTTCACCAATGGAATTCTCTCAAAATAGGCAATTCACCATGGTAAAATAATCAACCATCTTCACTTGAGGGTCGCTGGTCACATTCCACAGATGAGGACCACAGATGACCCTGATGCAAAGTAAACCAGGTAGGGTTCCTTACCAGGCCAGTATCGGAGATCTGAACACACGGCTTGTAGAGGACTCTGGTTTGGTCTGTGGAACATTGGCGAGCCAAAAACACCCAACCTTCCGTTTGAGAACCCTATGGAAACAAATAGACAAGTCAACCGAAGACTATCACAAATACACACCATGGAAACGAAAGCTTGTTAACATTTTACTACAAATATACACCCTGCAACAAAAACACAGCTTCATAAAATTTAAAACAGCTTGGTCCTCACCATGTTTGTTTTGGAAGAAAGAGTCTGCAGAGACGTGGGACGTCCTCCATCTTGAAGCAGCTGGGTCCTCCTCTGAGCCCAGTGAGGGCAGTAATCTGTTCACCAGCTCATCCAGCTGACCAACCCTCAGGTCTGACAGACCCAGGTCCCAGAGGTTCACAGTGGGCTGGGGGGACAGGAAGTCAGTATGAAGGACACATCAACTGTAATAATGAGCAAGCTTTAGCCTGGTCTCAGATCTGTTCGTGGCCAACTCACGACCATAGGGGTTGCCGAACAGGCTAGTTTAGCTAAGCTTGCTGTACCATCATTTCATAGTTATTGGAATTTAACATTTACATTTACATTTTAGTCATTTAGCAGACGCTCTTATCCAGAGCGACTTACAGGAGCAATTAGGGTTAAGTGCCTTGCTCAAGGGCACATTAACGTCATTTAGCAGACGCTCTTAGCCAGAGCGACTCACAAATTGGTGCGTTCACCCTATAGCCAGTGGGATAACCACTTTACAAGAGAGAAAAGTGGTCAAATGTAGCATTGCAGTGTCAGTTTCGCTAGCTATGCAAGCCAGGGCTTAGTATGAAATGATGTGCTGCTCCAGTGGCCATGATTTTATGATCTCTAGCCAATTGATGAGCAATAATAACACATACAAATTGGAGAGCTGTGAGTGACAATAAATATCTGCAATGATGTTTTTACTCATCCTCAGTGTCCATGGCACATGATATTGCTGTGTTTAGTGATAGTCTGAGACAACAATACTCTCCCTAACCACAACGACGACATGGGGCAGCAGGTAGCTTAGTGGTTAAAGAGCGTTGGGCCAGTAATCGAAAGGTCGCTGGTTCGAATCCCCGAGCCGACTAGGTGAAAAATCTGTCGATGTGCCCTTGAGCAAGGCACTTAACCCTAATTGCTCCTGTAAGTCGCTCTTGGATAAGAGCGTCTGCTAAATGACTAAAAATGTCTGCTCGGGGAGCTGTGCCTAGCCCGTTAGAGCTAGCCCCTGCACAAACCAGGATTTCCATCATTCCAACGTTATGTTACACGTCAGTCAGTCCAAAGTCGCACTGGGGCTCCTGAGGATAGTGGAGGGGGGTGGAGCCAGTTGTGTGAGCTACAGCTCTAAAAAAGGTAGACAGTGTAAATTCAGAGGCTTGTCCAGTCTGAGGGAGAACTGCTGCCTTGTGTCAGGAATTAGCCTAGGCTATGAAGGAATCCCTGATAACAAATGTACCGCCTATGATTGCCATAAAGTAGGCTAATCTTACAAGGAAGAGTCTAAGGGGCCTTTTCTGACCAGCATCCCATTGACCGCCAGACTAGCCAAAATCTATAACTTGACCCTTACCTTAAACCGAACCCTTAACCTAATTTCAACCTAATTTGAAAATGCAACATGGGTTTGCATGTCAGCCACACACCCTTAGTGTTTCCCTTATCGTACCTCTGTGAGCAACAGGTCCTGCTCTGGTGTGACATATGTCTGCAGGCTCTGGACAGAAGCTGTGGCTGTGGAGCTGGCTGAGTTCTTCAGGGAATGGAGGCCATTGATGAGCTGGCCAATGAGCTGACTCGTTACCTAAGAAGAGTCAGAGGCCACAGAGATGGAAAAATTTGAAATAAATGACATACGTGATTTGTGTAATGTTGGCATATATTGTTCTGATAAAGAACGTTGCAGGAGGGATAGTGATTTCCTGGATGTAGGTGCCCAGCCTACGATATTTATTTCACTGCACTACTGCGCAACTTACAGCAGATTTGTGAGACAACCCAGGCTAGGGAACTGATGAGGGAAGGTAATTTGAGTTCAACCTGTCTCTCTCTTCTAAGGATATCAAAGGCATCACAAGCCCCTGCCTGGGAGTTACTGGTGTGGAGAGCTCCCAAGTTGCATCCAACGTTATGTACTACTAGTCAGCAGCTTCCCTGTGACCCACTGACCAGATTTGACATCTGGGGACAATCATTTCTCTTATGTTACAATTTAAAACAGCCATCCTCATGCCATTGATTGACAGTATTAATCGGTATTGTCATTCACCGGCAGGTGTAAATAGCTGGATTATGCAACTGATTGATATGGTATGGCATAACCAATTGGTCAGCTAGTTGGTTAGTTAACCTAATTTATAACTAGCTAGCTTCAAATGAACTGTATTTACAACTGTCCAAATATCGCTGTGGCGTTAGTATGAAGAGACAGTTAACGTTAGCACATCATGAGATTGAGAACTGCGTACGTTACCTACAGCAACTAGTTAGCTAAATAAGCTTGATAACAGGGTAAGTAGCAAACTGTATGTATGGCTAGATAAATACATAACTTTAAACAGCTAGCTAGTTAAACGTGCTGTCTCTTATCTCTAACGTTAACTAGCCAGAACTTTCGAGCAGCTAGCTAGCTAGCTAGCTAGGTTACATCAGTCACCTAGATAGCTGATTAGCCGGCTATGCTATCCTGGCTTTGTATCAACTGCCTTACCTGTGGCTGGAACGTCGCCGAGAAGGAAAACATTATTACAGCAACTTGAGGTTTAGGATGTGAAGACAAACCCTCAATGTTACTGAATATACCAACTCCTCCTGGTTCACTGTCTTTTTGTCTTTCTCTCGTTACTCAACTATGTTACTTTCATGAAAATGGCTTCTTCCAGTGAGGTCAACGTGACGTCTGGAATAAATTATTTCCGGTTGGAACACGATTATTCTCTTCTCTACACTTCTCTAGCTACTTCTCCAATATTTGTGTTTTCTTTTTTACTACAAATAATATGTTTGCCACGTTGTTGGCAACATTTGTAACCATGAGCTTTGCAAACGAGTTGATTTTGCTTTTACAAAATATGCATTAATGTTGATGCCAGGATTAGGTATCCTACATATTGCCTGATGCAATTCATGTAGCAGAGTTGCTCTAGTAAAATCATGATGGCCCGAAAAGTCAATTATATTTATTGCTTAATTCATAACTTTCTTATTTGGTAAAATCTGCATTTCATGTGTTCATATTCTTGACTAGTTGAATATTTTCGTATAGGCACTCTCTTTGGCCACGAATAGCGTCACGCAGGACCCCTGTCTATGGGAGCGGAATTCACATTTCAAAACAAACTTGCCTTGTTGTCTGTCCGGTTATCTGTCAGTTTAGTAAAAAGGAAACAAATTTGTTTCATGAGATTTAATTGAGGTATTTTGAAATGTAACAGCTAACTAGTTTAATTGCATGCACGCTTTTATTTTTTAAATTACACTCAGGATGTGTGCCCCTTGAAAAGTTTAAAACGTCCACGCTAACGTTAGCTGTATGACCGATTAGCTGGCAGTAATGGATGCGGGTGAAAAACATCCCACTTCTTGTGCAGATAGGAAGGGATCCGATATACTAAGGCCTGCCTCAATCGATGACTTCGTTGTTTTGAAGCCCATCAGCCGTGGTGGCCTTTGGAAAGGTTTACCTTGCACGGAAGAAATGTAATCCACGATTATATGCAATCAAGGCAAGTGATCAACGGTTTTACCACTGCTATGTACCTCTCCTCCACACCTCAAGTTTCTAATTTTGGGTGTGGCGAACCACTAGTAACAGCTGCTAATGTGAAGGAGTTGGAAATAATTTTCAACTTTTTAAATGTTTAATAAAATGGAAATACCTAACTTACATTGACATTTTGAGGATAATGACACTTTATTGGCTATGAACTTTTCTCCAGGTTGTGAAGAAATCTGACATGCGTGACAAAAATATGGCACATCAGATGAAGGCAGAGAGAGACGCATTGGCCCTCAGCAAAAGTCCCTTTGTCGTGCACCTGTTCTACTGTCTCCAAACAGCAACAAACGTGTATTTGGTGTGTGTTCCCAAAAAGATAAATGGCAACAGTGAGTGACACGTCACTTTCCTAACTGTGGTATATTGCCTCTACATGTTTATGCACAGGTGATGGAATACCTAATTGGAGGAGATGTGAAATCCCTTCTTCACATCTACGGATATTTTGATGAGGACATGTCAGTGAAATACATTTCAGAGGTGGCTCGTGCTTTAGACTACCTCCATCGCCATGGAATCATCCACAGGTACTTTTATTTTAAATTTTATTTAACCTTTATTTAGCTAGGCAAGTCAGTTATGAACAAATTCTTATTTACAATGACGGCCTACACCGGCCAAACCCGGACGACGCTGGGCCAATTGTGCGCCGCCCTATGGGACTCCCAATCACGGCCGGTTGTGATCCAGCCTGGAATCGAACCAGGGGGTCTGTAGTGACGCCTCAAGCACTGAGATGCAGTGCCTTAGACCGCTGAGCCACTCGGGAGCCCGAGTGACTATCCATCTTCAAGAAATGTGGGTTTATTTAACATTTTAGTATGATTAAGTTTTGTATTCTGTTCAATCCTTTAGGGACCTGAAGCCAGACAATATGCTTGTATCTAATGAAGGCCACATCAAGCTTACAGACTTTGGCCTCTCCAAAGTCAAGCTTGACAGAGGTATGTGCATACGCTAAACATTTAAATCATTTAGCAGACGCTCTTATCCAAAGCGACTTACAGCAGCCATTAGGGTTAAGTGCCTTGCTCAAGGGCACATCAACAGATTTTTCACCTAGTCGGCTCAGAGATTTGAACCAGCGACCTTTCAGTTACTGGCCCAACACTCTTAACTGCAAGGCTAGCTGTCCCCTAAACCAATGCATCCACCCCCATCCGCTTTCAGGCTTTAGTTTAGTTCTACATTTTAATTCCTTTTCCTCCCAGAATTGAGTCTTGCCGATATTTTGACAACCCCATCTTTGGCCAAGCCTAAACAGGATTATTTCCGCACCCCTGGTCAAGTCCTGTCTTTGATCAGCTCTCTTGGCCTTGTAAGTAAAGTTCATTGCATTTAAGTATGTAATGTATTCATAGACAATACATCAGTAAGGATAGTAAATGTGATAATGATTGGTTTGTGCAGATACAGTACATTGTTTCCTATTGCCATATGAAATAATCATTCTGTGCTCTCATCCCATCAAACACAGAACACACCAGCAGTGGAGAGCAAGTGCCGCAGCAGCACCTCGGCTGTGTTCAGCCCTATGTCATGTGGGAAAATTGAACAGCGGAAAAACTCGCTCTGTTCGCCCTTGAGGAGACAGAAGGAATACCTGCATTCCCCTGTCTGCCATAGCCGGACTTTGGGTATGTCTCTTCAATTCTACCTCTGTAAATGAACATGTGTTTCGGTAAAAAAAAAAAAAAATCTTTAGCCAAAAAGGGCAGACTGGTCAGATCTGTAATCAAACCTGTCCAGAGGAGAGAGTGGATTCTGTTCCCTCAAACTGATTCAAATCGGTCTTTGTTTTGTCAGGACCCAACAGCTTTGTGTTCAGCTCATATGCTTTGACCAAGAGCCTGACTCCCAGGCTGCTCAAGTCCAGAAGGAGGTTTGAGACGATGAGCGCAGGCAGCAGCCAATCATGCCTCTTCCCCTCCACCACGGACTCTGAGGGAGGTGTCAGCCCACTATGGGAGGTAGAGCAGGTCAGAAGCCAGCAGCAAATATATAATTCCTTTCATTTCACTCAAATATCTACCTCTGTATTTGTGGGTCATTAGAAGACATGTGTTATTGTTTTCGGTTTGCTTTTCTAGAAGGAGATGGAGAACTTCCTGCACCTATATGGTAGGAATACAAGTGGACCAATGGGAGGAAAGTCGACCTCTGATATGCGAATGCAGCGCCGGGACTCTGCTCTGGCATCGTTGGACAACTTAGACCTACGTGGACAGCTCCACCGAGAACCCAGTACTGGAGAACTGTCCAGGAAGGCCAAAGCGGAACCTCTTGCTGAGAAGAGGCTTCAGTTTAACGAGGTAGAGCAGTCTGCCCCACCCCAGAAGCCTGATCGCTCTCAACCAATCAGAGGCTATGTTTCTGGAGTTGAAGGTCAATGTGCCACCGAAGGGAAACCAAAGGGAGGCCATGTTGTGGTAACCTCAGCAGGAAAGAGAGTGTTTGAGGAGGTGGAAAGAAGTCCTGAGCAGTTGGAATCCCTTTCCAAGAAGAGCGACTCAGCGTACCAGAGGTGTTATGGTGTCCCAGAAATTGCTTTGAAGAATCGCACTGGTCTGACAGGGGTGTTTGCCAATGTCCATTTGGAGGTGTTTGGATCTGAGGGTCGAGGGACTGCTGAAGGCCAGGTCTCCAAACGCTCCAGTCCCATTGCTGTGGCTAAAAACCTCCTGTGTGAGTTGGATGGACCAGCAGAGGGGGTCTTCGTCGAGGGCACGTCATTTGGTGAAGAGCTGAGCAGGAGCCTGAGCGCTGACTCTGAGGGGTCGACTCATGAAATGTCCATCGTCGTCAACAGCCCAACCCCTAAGAGGTCGGCTCAAAGTGCAAAAGAGGGGCGTTGGGCGTTGTTCCATCTAGACGATATACAATATCACCCAGCAATATCACCCAGTGCCCCACTGCTTCCTCAGCCACCCACCTTCGCTAGTATAGGAACGGCAAAGCCGGGCAACGGGCTCACCCTGAGAGGAGGCAAATCCAAGCACTCCTTCCTCGAACCGAGTCCCTGAGCTGGACCCCAGGGTGGCCAAGTCACCCTCGTTCCTCAAGCCCAGGAACGCGGTGGCCTTCCGGAGTTACTGCAGCTCCATCAACCGCTCCAACATGTCGTGGAACTCACGGCTCAGCCTGGGCTCAGTGGGGGCCATGGATACGGTCACTTCAGCCTCCTACCACAGTATGCCCGCTGCTGTCACACCAGTCCAGAAGAGACCCAGCTCCAACAACTCCCTCTATCAGGTAGATGCACAGAGTCGAGTTCCAGGGGTGGAGGGGACAGAGTCGAGAGGGTACAGAGTCGAGTTCCAGGGGAGAAGGGTACAGAGTCGAGTTCCAGGGGTGGAGGGGACAGAGTCGAGTTCCAGGGGTGGAGGGTACAGAGTCGAGTTCCAGGGGTGGAGGGTACAGAGTCGAGTTCCAGGGGTGGAGGGTACAGAGTCGAGTTCCAGGGGTGGAGGGTACAGAGTCGACGTTCAGGGGTGGAGGGTACTGGGCTACATTGAAATGTAGGATCTAAATATAGCTTCAGAGAACTTACATGATACTGTTTTTTATCAGTTATTTATTTGACTAATTTCAGACCCCACAGCCGACGACCACCTCCCACACCCCATTCAGGACCCCTAAGAGTGTCCGACGCGCTCCAGTACCTGTGGAGGGAGTACCGATTTTAGGTACCCCAGACTACCTAGCCCCAGAGCTGCTATCGGGGAAACCACATGGTAAGAGAGGACCATTTCTTGTTTGGGATGTCAAAACATTTCTGAATGTGTGTTGGTATAACTGCTGTCATCCTCTTCACAACTTTACATGAAGGTATAAATGTCTGTTGAGAAATCAACAGTCCAGCCATTTTAACAGGCATTCTTTTTAAGTTTCAGGATGTCGTAAATGTGGTAAGTTGATCATAACCTTGCTAACGTTGCCAGGGGGGAATGCGTGTGCTCTCAGCTTCCCTGCATTGCATTCACTGTCTGGTACCAGAGGAAATGGCTGCCTGATTCAAAATAACATAGATGGGTTTCAAAATGCTGGTTCTGGTTACCCATTGTACTTCCTGCTTCGAGAAGCGGCCCTCAATTCGGGGTGTTCCTGCATCTACAGGAACTCCTCTTTTTATACTTCTGTTGTTCCGTTTTTAAGCTAGGACTCAGAAAGACAGGCGGGAGCGCTCCAGTACACTAGGTGGCGGTAATAGACCATAATGTTGGATGCCAACCGCCAATAAACACCACAGAAGAAGCGGGGGGCAACAACGGTAGCTAGCTAGGACACCGGTAGACAGTGTCCTTCGCCCCCTTTTAAAAAAAGAAAACTCAGAAAATACTTCTTTCCCTTTTGACCCACATTTTTAAATCGCATAGACAATCAGGGGAAATCCAGAATACGTTAAGTGTCACACAAGCATGAAGATGGCATGCTCGGGGTGGAGGGGGGGGGGGGGCTTTCATGCAGGAACCAATGGGATGCTCGAGGGGGAGGGGTTCCTGCTGATTCATGAACCAATGGAATGCTCGAGGGGGAGGGGTTCCTGCTGATTCAGGAATCCCCAAATGTAGGAACACCCAGAATTTGCGTGCTGCAATCACACTCTATTGGCTGCTTCTGGCCCTCTCTATTGGGTTTGGACCCATGTTGGGGTTAAATTGAGGGAAATTCTAATGGGAAGCCATTTTCAGTACATGGTGTTAAAGATTCTAAAGAGGGTCATTAATGTTTGTCAGAGTGGAGGACGAACATTAGTGACCGCTAGATGGGTCTAATTGTAAAGGCACATTTTCAAGCTGATGAAATTTGTTCATTTGTTCAAACATTGAAACATCGATATGGGTTTTGTCCAGGAATATGATGTTTGGTGCCCATGGTGTGGATTTAATGCTGGGGGGGAAAAAAAACAATCTAATATTGGTTTTAGATTACAATAAATTACATTTATCTTACAAAGTGTAAACAATTGTTCAGGATTCAGTAATGTTAGCAAGCAAAACACAATTACAACACCCCCTCACATCATCCACAATCGTTAAATCTCATATTTCAAGAAGTGTGTGAGTGGATCTTACTGTTATCCCAAATTGTACATTGAAACACTAAGCCTAATGTTTTCCAATTTCCTCAGTTCCTGCTTCCAGCGCTGTTGAATAGAGACACCGGCTAACAGGACAATAGCACAGTGACACTACGATGACGGTATACAGTTGAAGTCGGAAGTTTACATACACCTTAGCCAAATACATTTAAACTCAGTTTTTCACAATTCCTGACATTTAATCCTAATAAAAAATTCCCTGTCTTAGGTCAGTTAGGATCACCACTTTTATTTTAAGAATGTGAAATGTCAGAATAATAGTAGAGAGAATTTATTTATTTCAGCTTTTATTTCTTTCATCACATTCCCAGTGGGTCAGAAGTTTACATACACTCAATTAGTATTTGGTAGCATTGCCTTTTAAATTGTTTAACTTGGGTCAAACGTTTTGGGTAGCCTTCCACAAGCTTCCCACAATAAGTTGGGTGAATTTTGGCCCATTCCTCCTGACAGAGCTGGTGTAACTGAGTCAGGTTTGTAGGCCTTGATTGCACACGCTTTTTCAGTTCTGCCCACACATTTTCTATAGGATTGAGGTCGGGGCTTTGTGATGGCCACTCCAATACCTTGACTTTGTTGTCCTTAAGCCATTTTGCCACAATTTTGGAAGTATGCTTGGGGTCATTGTCCATTTGGAAGACCCATTTGCGACCAAGCTGATGTCTTGATGTTGCTTCAATATATCCACATACATTTCCTTCCTCATGATGCCATCTATTTTGTGAAGTGCACCAGTCCCTCCTGCAGCAAAGCACCCCCAGAGCATGATGCTGCCACCCCCGTGCTTCACGGTTGGGATGGTGTTCTTCGGCTTGCAAGCAACCCCCTTTTTCCTTCAAACATAATGATGGTCATTATGGCCAAACAGTTCTATTTTTGTTTCATCAGATCAGAGGACATTTCTCAAAAAAGTACGATCTTTGTCCCCATGTGCAGTTGCAAACCGTAGTCTGCCTTTTCTATGGCGGTTTTTGGAGCAGTGGCTTCTTCCTTGCTGAGCGGCCTTTCAGGTTATGTCGATATAGGACTTGTTTTACTGTGGATATAGTTTATTTTGTACCTGTTTCCTCCAGCATTTTCACAAGGTCCTTTGCTGTTGTTCTGGGATTGATTTCCACTTTTCGCACCAAAGTACGTTCATCTCAAGGAGACAGAATGCGTCTCCTTCCTGAGCGGTATGACGGCTGCGTGGTCCCATGGTGTTTGTACAGATGAACGTGGTACCTTCAGGCGTTTGGAAATTGCTCCCAAGGATGAACCGGACTTGTTGAGGTCTACAATTTTTTTTCTGAGGTCTTGGCTGATTTCTTGTGATTTTCCCATGAGGTCAAGCAAAGAGGCACTGAGTTTGAAGGTAGGCCTTGAAATACATCCACAGGTACACCTCCAATTGACTCAAATGATGTCAATTAGCCTATCAGAAGCTTCTAAAGCCATGACATAATTTTCTGCAATTTTCCAAGGTGTTTAAAGGCACAGTCAACTTAGTGTATGTAAACTTCTGACCCACTGGAATTGTGATACAGTGAATTATAAGTGAAATAATCTGTCTGTAAACAATTGTTGGAAAAATTACTTGTGTCATGCACAAAGTAGATGTCCAAACCGACTTGGCAAAACTATAGTTTAACAAGAAATTTGTGGAGTGGTTGAAAAACAAGTTTTTTTTAATGACTCCAACCTAAGTGTATGTAAACATCCGAATTCAACTGTATGTGACTAATCTCTGTTAACCCAGAACAAAAATCTTGGGTAATTTAGTCAGATATGTTTATGTAGTCTGTCCACAAGAGATGAATATTTTACTGACTGTCTGTATCGGTTCCCCCCCATCAGACTTCATGGTGGACTGGTGGGCCCTGGGTGTGTGTCTGTTTGAGTTCCTTACCGGCGTGCCCCCCTTCAACGATGAAACCCCTCTGCTTGTCTTCCAGAATATTCTCAACAGAGGTACTTTGTTGCAGTAACACTGGCGCTAGTCTTTTCCTACTGATTTTGCTGCTTTATTGAGGAAAGGTTTCGCTGTCTACGACTGAGATGTGGTTATCCCACCTACAGTGGGGGGAAAAAACTATTTAGTCAGCCACCAATTGTGCAAGTTCTCCCACTTAAAAAGATGAGAGAGGCCTGTAATTTTCATCATAGGTACACGTCAACTATGACAGACAAAATGAGATTTTTTTTCCCAGAAAATCACATTGTAGGATTTGTAATGAATTTATTTGCAAATTATGGTGGAAAATAAGTATTTGGTCAATAACAAAAGTTTCTCAATACTCAATAAGTCTTCACAAGGTTTTCACACACTGTTGCTGGTATTTTGGCCCATTCCTCCATGCAGATCTCCTCTAGAGCAGTGATGTTTTGGGGCTGTCGCTGGGCAACACAGACTTTCAACTCCCTCCAAATATTTTCTATGGGGTTGAGATCTGGAGACTGGCTAGGCCACTCCAGGACCTTGAAATGCTTCTTACGAAGCCAGTCCTTCGTTGCCCGGGCGGTGTGTTTGGGATCATTGTCATGCTGAAAGACCCAGCCACGTTTCATCTTCAATGCCCTTGCTGATGGAAGGTTTTCACTCAAAATCTCACGATACATGGCCCCATTCATTCTTTCCTTTACACGGATCAGTCGTCCTGGTCCCTTTGCAGAAAAACAGCCCCAAAGCATGATGTTTCCACCCCCATGCTTCACAGTAGGTATGGTGTTCTTTGGATGCAACTCAGCATTCTTTGTCCTCCAAACACGACGAGTTGAGTTTTTACCAAAAAGTTATATTTTGGTTTCATCTGACCATATGACATTCTCCCAATCCTCTTCTGGATCATCCAAATGCACTCTAGCATAATAATAATAATATGCCATTTAGCAGACGCTTTTATCCAAAGCGACTTACAGTCATAGCAAACTTCAGACGGGCCTGGACATGTACTGGCTTAAGCAGGGGGACACGTCTGGCACTGCAGGATTTGAGTCCCTGGCGGCGTAGTGTGTTACTGATGGTAGGCTTTGTTACTTTGGTCCCAGCTCTCTGCAGGTCATTCACTAGGTCCCCCCGTGTGGTTCTGGGATTTTTGCTCACCGTTCTTGTGATCATTTTAACCCCACGGGGTGAGATCTTGCGTGGAGCCCCAGATCAAGGGAGATTATCAGTGGTCTTGTATGTCTTCCATTTCCTAATAATTGCTCCCACAGTTGATTTCTTCAAACCAAGCTGCTTACCTATTGCAGATTCAGTCTTCCCAGCCTGGTGCAGGTCTACAATTTTGTTTCTGGTGTCCTTTGACAGCTCTTTGGTCTTGGCCATAGTGGAGTTTGGAGTGTGACTGTTTGAGGTTGTGGACAGGTGTCTTTTATACTGATAACAAGTTCAAACAGGTGCCATTAATACAGGTAACAAGTGGAGGACATAGGAGCCTCTTAAAGAAGAAGTTACAGGTCTGTGAGAGCCAGAAATCTTGCTTGTTTGTAGGTGACCAAATACTTATTTTCCACCATAATTTGCAAATAAATTCATTAAAAATCCTACAATGTGATTTTCTGGAAACATTTTTCTCAATTTGTCTGTCATAGTTGACGTGTACCTATGATGAAAATTACAGGCCTCTCTCATCTTTTTAAGTGGGAGAACTTGCACAATTGGTTGCTGACTAAATACCTTTTTTCCCCCCACTGTAGCTATCTACCTTAAGTGGAATGTACTAACTGTAAGTCACTCTGGATAGTCTGCTCAATTACTAAAATGTCAAATGTAAATTTATTTGTTTCATGGCATCTGTTATGTTCTCAGTGTGACATGTCTTTTATGGCAAAGTAAAATCATGCATTTTTATTTTGTTTAATCTCAGATATTCCAGGTGAGGAGAAGCTATCCCACAATTCCCAGAATGCCATAGAGATCTTACTCACCATGGACATGAACAAACGGGCTGGTCTCAAAGGCAAGGGTTTCTTTGGCCAGTTTAATGCAGTTCAGTTTAACCAGTAATAACAGTAATAATACCATTTTGAAATTGACCATTTTTTGATTTATTTATAATGATTCCATTTTTGCTGCTACAACCATATTTGTTTTTGTTTCTGCATCAGAACTGAGGAGCCACACTCTGTTTGCGGGGTTGGACTGGGATAACCTTCAGAACCAGAGCATGCCCTTCATTCCTCAGCCGGAGGACGAGACGGACACGTCGTACTTTGACGCAAGAAACACTGCACAGCACCTCGTCATGTCTGGCTTCAGTCTGTAGGCTTGCTCTCCAGGGTTGGGGTCAATTCAGGAAGTACACTGAAATTTCAATTCTCTTCAATGCTTTTCCATTTGGGATGATTTAATATATACGATTTTTTTTTGTGTGAATTAGTTGTTGAATATTTGTACTGTGTCGACTTAACAGCACAACTGTCTTTTTTATCTATCGATGTGCCCTTGAGCAAGGCACTTAACCCTAATTGCTCCTGTAAGTCGCTCTGGATAAGAGCGTCTGCTAAATGACCAATTATTATTATTATTATTATTATCCACATAGCACCATGTTTCACTGCTCTTCTATGCACCTGCCATTTGTGAAGTGACTGCTATGATGATCCATTTCATATACACTACATCTGTATGCATGCTCTTCACAAAAATGTTTTTACATGTTATAAATACAAATAAAACGGTTGTGTGAAGTGATTAAAAACAGTTTTTTTCTTCTGTGACGAAAGAAGAACAAAAACAGGAAGGGAGGAAGGTCTTTAAAAGATGTAAAAGGTTAAAAGTTTTGTAGCATTTCAGCCATTAGTTTTGAAAGTAGCACTCGAGCCAAAATGTGTCCCCGAAAATTGTGTACAACGTCATCCATTTCGTATGATATTTTACTTCCTGCATTTTTTCTTTCTTTTTGCAATTCATATGATACTTATGTGTGTATATATAAATTATGTGGGCACCCCTTCAAATGAGTGGATTTGGCTATTTCAGCCACACCCGTTGCTGACAGGTGTATAAAATCGAGCACACAGCCATGCAATCACCATAGACAAACATTGGCAGTAGAATGGCCTGTACTGAAGAGCTCAGCGACTTTCAACGTGGCACCGTCAAAGGATGCCACCTTTCCAACAAGTCAGTTTGTCAAATTTCTGCCCCGGTCAACTGTAAGTGCTGTTATTGTGAAATGGAAACATCTAGGAGCAACAATGGCTCAGCCGCGAAGTGGTAGGCCACACAAGCTCACAGAACTGGACCGCTGAAGCATGTAGCGCGTAAACATAGTCTGTCCTCAGTTGCAACACTCACTACTGAGTTCCAAACTGCCTCTGGAAGCAACGTCAGCACAATAACTGTTCGTCGGGAGCTTTAATGAAATGGGTTTCCATGGCCGAGCAGTCGCGCGCAACACACAAGCCTAAGCTCACCCTGCGTAATGCCAAGCGTCAGCTGGAGTAGTGTTAAGCTCACCGCCATTGGACTCTGGAGCAGTGGAAACGCGTTCTCTGGCGTGATGAATCACGCTTCACCATCTGGCAGTCCGGACAAATCTGGGTTTGGCGGATACCAGGAGAGCGCCACCTGCCCCAATGCATATTGCCAACTGTAAAGTTTGGTGGAGGAGGAATAAAGGTATGGGGCTGTTTTTCATGGTTCGGGCTAGGCCCCTTAGTTCCAGTGAAGGGAAATCTTAACGCTACAGCATACAATGACATTCTAGACGATTCTGTGCTTCCAACTTTGTGGCAACAGTTTGGGGAAGGCCCTTTTCTGTTTCAGCATGACAATGCCCCCGTGCACAAAGCGAGGTCCATACAGAAATGGTTGGTCGAGATTGGCGTGGAAGAACTTGACTGGCCTTCACAGAGCCCTGACCTCAACCCCATCAAACCCCTTTGGGATGAATTGGAACGCCGACTGCGAGCCAGGCCTAATTGCCCAACATCAGTGCCCAACCTCACTAATGCTCTTGTGGCATTGTGTTGTGTGACAGAACTGCACATTTTAGAGTGGCCTTTTATTGTCCCCAGCACAAGGTGCACCTGTGTAATGATCATGCTGTTTAATCAGCTTCTTGATATGCCACACCTGTCAGGTGGATGGATTATCTTGGCAAAGGAGAAATGCTCACCTAACAGCGATGTAAACAAATTTGTGCACAAAATTGGAGAGAAATAAGCTTTTAGTGCGTATGAAAATGTCTAGGTTATTTTATTTTAGCTCATGAAACTTGGGACCAACACTTTACATGTTGCGTTTATTTTTGTTCAGTATATTATAAATGACATGCAAACAACAATCTAAGGCAGAAAAGGAGAGAAAGCTTTAGATTCATATTTAGTAGAAAGTTTAACAAATCCAATGGCTGTGAAAATATCATCAGCTCTATTGCAAATGTACATTATGATCCCTATATTATTTTGATATAGATTCATATACTACATCAATATATTAGAATACAATTAAAATATTGCACTTTTGTCAATATAATAATATCTTATCTATTATTGTTTACAACTTACACAAAACTAACTCAAAACCCAAATGTTTTAGATCTAACAGATTTAAAACTCCATTACGTAGAAAGTATTCAAACATAACCATTGTCAGTCAGACCAAATTAACACTTCCATGGACAATGTTCCTTTACAAAAAAAAAAAAAAAAAATCACATTGCTACATTAAAACAAAACAAAAATTGCTATTAACAGATACGAAGCTCAAAACATCACCAAAAAAGTACTATGTATTTTAAAGAATAGTGTATAGTGATGTATTAATCATCGCTATACAACTTTTTCTCTGGCCCAAACAAGGTGGTTACATTTGGTGCTCTTATTTGTAGATGTTTTACTTGAGTAAACAGAACTACAATACATTTTAGCAGACACCCTTCTCCAGAGCGACTTACAGGAGCAGTTAGGGTTAATTGCCTAGCTCATCGACAGATTTTTCAACCTAGTCGGCTCGGATATTCGAACCAGCGACCTTTCGGTCACTGGCACAACATGCTAAAGCGCTAGGCTACCTTCCGCCAAAAGAACTGTATACGAGTGGCGCAGTGGTCTAAGGCACTGCATCGCAGTGCTAGCTGTGCCACTAGAGATCCTGGTTCGAATCCAGGCTCTGTCATAGCCGGCCGCGACCGGGAGACCAATGGGGCGGCGTGCAATTGGCCCAGCGTCGTCCAGGGTAGGGGAGGGAATGGCCGGCAGGGATGTAGCTCAGTTGACAGAGCATGGCGTTTGCAACGCCAGGGTTGTGGGTTTGATTCCCACAGGGGGTATGAAAAAAAGAATAATTATGCATTAACTGTAAGTCGCTCTGGATAAGAGCGTCTGCTAAATGACTAAAAAAAACAAAAAAAAACATTGTTGAGTCACCTTATCATGGGGTTAAACATACACAAACTAAGTGTATAAAAAGCATGATGCGATATGAAAAATTATACTTAATTTGAACCATTCACATCCCAGCAGTAATGTACAACCTAACCAAAGACTAGACAATAAAGCCTTAAATTTTCATTTCATGTTAGAAATAATAAATTAACACATTTTCAGAATTAAAATGTACCTTTCCACGAATACATTTTTATATATACACACTTATCTACCCAGCGTTATCACCATATATTAGCAGCCTGAGCAACTATTATCATATATGGCATAAGGTTTCTTCTGTTGCAGTATGTTCTTATAATGCCGAAACACAGGGATGGGATGGGATGGGATAGGATGGGGGGGAGGGAGTATGGATGTGGCACGCAGACCAACGAGCTACTGCGGCCCTCATACTGAGATCTGTTTTCTTGTGGTCCCAACCCCCCATAGAAGTTGCCGATCCCTGCCGCAAGATGTACGGAATACTTGCAATAAAATAAAAAAGGTAGAAGTTATTCTCAACATATACAACCAATAACTTTACCGCCCAAGTTAAATCCTCATCATTTTCTTAAGAGCAAAAAAAAAAAAAAAAAGTACTAATGTAGTACAGTAATGGAAAAAAGCTTGCATGATTATGAGCTGCAGTTCAATCCGTTCACATCTCTTTGATTTCAATTGTAGTGCCAGTGGGTTGTGAGGCTTCCCCAACTCACTACTCCTAGTGCCATCTTCATAGTGCAAAAGCTAAAGTTACAGAGGTGTGGGGGAAAGTGGAAGGGAGGCTACGGCCATTACCCAACCAGAGACTGTTGACAGAGCTCTCTTCGTCGCTCTGGGTCTTTGGGACGGGGGGACTTTTCAGTTGATTCGTCTAAAAGTGGGGGACAAGACTCAATGTTAGAAATGCATTCTTACTAAGTTCAAGTGATTATATTCGTAGAGCTATCAACACAACGTGGTCTCAGAGCATTTTGTATTATTCTGTACGTATCACACTCCAGTTAGTATGATATGTTACATTTCGTATGGTTCAGTGCATTCGTAAAGTATTCAGACCCCTTGACCTTTTCCCACATTTTGTTACGTTACAGCCTTATTCTAAAATGTCTAAATTGTTTTTTTCCCTCATCAATCTACACACAATACCCCATAATGACAAAGCAAAAACAGGTTTTTAGAAATTTTGGCAAATGTATTAAAAATAAAAAACGGAAAATATAACATTTACATAAGTATTCAGACCCTTTACTCATTACTTTGTTGAAGCACCTTTGGCAGCGATTACAGCCTCGAGTCTTGGGTGTGACGCTACAAGCATGGCACACCTGTATTTGGGGAGATTCTCACATTCTTCTCTGCAGATCCTCTCAAGCTCTGTCAGGTTGGATGGGGAGCGTTGCTGCTCAGCTATTTTCAGGTCTCTCCAGAGATGTTAGATCGGGTTCAAGTCCGGGCTCTGGCTGGGCCACTCAAGGACATTCAGAGACTTGTCCTGAAGCCACTCCTGTGTTGTCTTTGCTGTGTGCTTAGGGTCGTTGTCCTGTTGGAAGGTGAACCTTCGCCCCAGTCTGAAGTCCTGAGCGCTCTGGAGCAGGTTTTCATCAAGAATCTCTCTGTACTTTGCGCCGTTCATCTTTGCCTCAATCCTGACTAGTCTCCCAGTCCCTGCCGCTGAAAAACATCCCCACAGCATGATGCTGCCACCACCATGCTTCACCATAGTGATGGTGCCAGGATTCTTCCAGAGGTGATGCTTGGCATTGAGGCCAAAGAGTTCAATCTTTGTTTCATCAGACCAGAGAATCTTGTTTCTCATGGTCTGAGAGTCCTTTAGGTGCCTTTTGGCAAACTCCAAGCGGGCTGTCATGTGCCTTTTACTGAGGCGTGGCTTCCGTCTGGCCACTCTAACATAAAGGCCTGATTGGTAGAGTGCTGCAGAGATGGTTGTCCTACTGGAAGGTTCTCCCATCTCCACAGAGGAAATCTGGAGCTCTGTCAGAGTGACCATCGGGCTCTTTGTCACCTCCCTGACCAAGGCCCTTCTCCCCCGATTGCTCAGTTTGGCCGGGCAGCCAGATCTAGGAAGAGTCTTGGTGGTTCCAAACTTCTTCCATTTAAGAATGATGGAGGCCACTGTGTTCTTGGGGACCTTCAATGCTGCAGACATTTTTTGGTACCCTTCCCCAGATCTGTGCCTCGACACAATCCTGTCTCGGAGCTCTACGGACAATTCCTTCGACCTCATGGCTTGGTTTTTGCTCTGACATGCACTGTCAACTGTGGGACCTTATATAGACAGGTGGACTCCAATCAAGTTGTAGAAACATCTCAAGGAAGATCAATGGAAACAAGATGCACCTGAGCTCAATTGTTAGTCTCATAGCAAAGGATCTGAATACTTATGGCACAATTGCATTTTATCGATGGCAATTAGAATGCACAGAGATACCGTGACGAGATCCTGAGGCCCATTGTCGTGCCCTTCATCTGCCGCCATCACCTCGTGTTTCAGCATGATAATGCACGGCCCCATGTCGCAAGGATCTATACACAATTCCATGAAGCTGAAAATGTCCCAGTTCTTCCATGGCCTGCGTATTCACCAGACATGTCACCCATTGAGCATGTTTGGGATGCTCTGGATCGACGTGTACGACAGTGTATTCCAGTTCCTGCCATTATCCAGCAATTTCGCACATCCAGTGAAGAGGAGTGGCACAACATTCCACAATCAACAGCCTGATCAACTCTATGCCGGGGATGTGTCGCGCTGCATGAGGCAAATGGTGGTCACACCAGATACTGACTCGTTTTCTGATCCACACCCCCCCCTACTTTTTTTTTTTTTATTTTTATCTGTGGCCAACAGATGCATATCTGTATTCCCAGTCATGTGAAATCCATAGATTAGGGCCTAATTAATTCATTTCAACTGACTGATTTCCTTATATGAACTGTAACTTAGTAAAATCTTTGAAATTGTTGCGTGTTATTTTTGTTTAGTGTAGTTGCTAAAATGCTAAAGTTGTCCGTGATGAGATTCGAACACGCAACCTTTGGTTGCTCGATGTTCTCGTTAAAACGCCCGATTAGCCACCCTCCTTTTGTTTTGGCCTTAAGTAACATTTTATCTTATGTAACCATACCAAATGTAACATATCATACACATTTTTGTGTTCCCGGATTTACGTTTACTATGTTACGTCTAGTCTATGAGACCAGGCTGATCAACAGATTGGCATTTTGGAGTATCAGAGGCAGAATGGTGAATGGATGACCAGATAACATAAATGTAACAAAAGCTGTCTCCACAATACCATTGACTAGTAGTTATTGTAGAATATCCCCGTCTTGCTGTACAATTACCTTCTCCGACGTTGAAGATATAGGCGGATAAGCCACTGCACCACAAATGGCCATGCCACAGCAAAGGCAACAGCGCTAGGAGACACGTCAAAAGGCCACCAGGATGGTTTCTACAGGACAAAAGAGGATGATAAATGCATATTTATACGTAAAAATGTATGCACACATGACTGTAAGTCGCTTTGGATAAAAGCGTCTGCTAAATGGCATATTATTATATATTCTGAAAACTAGAGAAGTACATTTCCTGAAGAAAATGTGGTGTGCTTGCTAGTTTATTTTAAAGTATTTATGGTATAAGTTACAGTAGTGCTGGTGAGTGCAGTAGTAACAGTGGTGACTGATTTATAGTTGAAAAAGTAGGTAGATGGAAAAATTGGACTGATTGGCTGTTGCTAGGATAGCCTAAACATTTAAACGTTGGTATGGTGTCTCTCTAGCTTGAACGGTTCAAGAGTTACTGTTGGGGAGTTATTTTATGCTAATTTATATAGTTATAGTTGATAAAACGTTTTTTTTTTTTTTTATGTGGAGTTAGGATAGCCTGAATGTTTTCAAGTTGGTCTTGTAGCTTCAATTGGACAAGGAGCCAAAATTTAAATTGACCATTTTGAATAGCTACCTCTGTATTCCTATGGTTCTCATTCAAACCCATGTTAATTTATGCACATTTTAAATAGTTAAAACTATTAATAGTATCAAAAAGCCGTTGACTAAGATGGGCCAGTCTGAACATCTCACCATTGGTTTGGTGTTGATAGCTTAAAACGGTTCAAAAAGGACTAGCGCAGACAAATGTTCCCCATGTAAGTCTATGGCCCTTTTATTGCCATTGAAATGCATTGGGACCTCATTTAAGTATTGTTGTAGTACAAAAAACTATAGACGCTATCAAATATATTTTCTCAAGAACTCTAAGTTGGGGCCTTTTGAACACCTGAAAAGGTGGTTTCGTGTTTATAGTTTATACGGGTTACAGATTTGTGGCGTTTGCTCTAATATGCAAATGTGGGCTAATTTAAACTGATTAAAAAGGACGGAGGAATTACATCATCTATACATTTATGAAGTGGTTCCATCATCCTGAAGATGTTTTGGAGTTTCTAGTCTTGAATGGTTAGAAAGCAGTGCCACTGTGAATATCGACCTGTCATTGTCGCCATTGACTCTAATTGCAAACTGTAAATAGCTGTAGTTCCAAAAGTATTTATAGTATAAAAATATCCTTTGACAAGCAATCTTGGGGTCAGTCTGAACATCTCAACGTTTGGTTTGGTGTTGATAGCTTGAAACGTTGACATATAGAAGATGAGTCTCCATTTTATACCATTCAAGTCTATGGCCATTGACTTGCATTAAGTTTTATCCAAATGTGGTTGTTCTGCAAAAAGTATAAATAGTATCAAAAAATATCTCTCTAGCAACCTGAAGACGGCCTGTCTGCACATTCTAAAGTTGTTTTAGTGTTAATAGCTCAAGTGGTTTAAGCGCTAGAGTGGAATATTACAGATTTGACTATGTAAGAAAGCTTTCAGCAAGCACACTTAATAAATGCTTCCTTTATATATATATTATATATATATATATATATATCTCACAATATCCTTAAGAAGAAAAGTATCTGTATTCTGAATCACAATACCTGTGGGAAAATACAAAGGGCATGTTCAGTCTACGACCATGGGAACAGTCTACGACCATGGGAACAGTCTTGTCCCATGGGAACAGCTACGACCACGGGAACAGTCCGACCACTGGAACAAGTCTCACTACCACGGGAACAGTCTACGACCCTGGAACAGTCTAACGACAATGGGAACATTCTACGACAATGGGAACAGTCTCCGACCCCGGGAACAGTCTACCGACCACGGGAACAGTCTACGACCACGGGAACAGTCTACGACCACGGGAACAGTCTACGACCACGGGAACAGTCTACGACCACGGGAACAGTCTACGACCACGGGAACAGTCTACGACCACGGGAACAGTCTACGACCACGGGAACAGTCTACGACCACGGGAACAGTCTACGACCATGGGAACAGTCTACGACAATGGGAACAGTCTACGACCACGGGAACAGTCTACGACCACGGGAACAGTCTACGACCACGGGAACAGTCTACGGCCACGGGAACAGTCTACGACCACGGGAACAGTCTACGACCATGGGAACAGTCTACGACCACGGGAACAGTCTACGACCACGGGAACAGTCTACGACCACGGGAACAGTCTACGACCACGGGAACAGTCTACGACCACGGGAACAGTCTACGGCCATGGGAACAGTCTACGACCACGGGAACTGAGTCCTACATAAACAACGACAGACAGAAAAGCCAGTGTGCACCGTACCTTACTACCCTTCTTTGCCAGGGGTGATGGTGGGTATGGTAGAGCCAATGACTAGAAAACATATACAAAAAGGGAGAAGAAAGGAACAGGACAACGTTAATGAAATTACTTCTTAAACTCAATAGTTACAGTCCATCTTAGACCAAAAGATCTGACCTTTTGTGCCTGAATAAAAGGATTGAGAGCAATAGGTGGAAGTACTGTACACCAGTTTGTTTGTCACAGGGTTATTAGATACATTTAACAGTAGTTACTATCTTACCAGGCTATGTAATAGAATGTTTAGAAAGTTTCTGTGTAATAGACTGTTTCTGTGTAATAGACTGTTTCTGTGTAATAGACTGTTTCTGTGTAATAGACTGTTTCTGTGTAATAGACTGTTTCTGTGTAATAGACTGTTTCTGTGTAATAGACTGTTTCTGTGTAATAGACTGTTCTGGTAATAGACTGTTCTGTGTAATAGACTGTTCTGTGTAATAGAATGTTCTGTGTAATAGAATGTTTCTGTGTAATAGACTGTTTCGGTAATAGACTGTTTCTGTGTAATAGAATGTTTCTGTGTAATAGACTGTTTCTGTGTAATAGAATGTTTCTGTGTAATAGAATGTTTCTGTGTAATAGAATGTTTCTGTGTAATAGAATGTTTCTGTGTAATAGAATGTTTCTGTGTAATAGACTGTTTCTGTGTAATAGAATGTTTCAAATGCTATGTGGGTCTATGGTCTCTGACCTGGGATGCAGTGAGGGCCTCCAGTGTGTGCAGTCTCTCCAGGACACTCTGCATGTCCTCCTGCAGTCTGGCCAGCGCCACTACGATCTGCTCATTCAGACTGCCTCCTGTTGCCCCAGCTCCCCCCCATCGCTCCCTGTCCCCTCCGCTACCCTGCAAGGGCCCCTGTGCCTCCGGGCCGTGCCCTGAAGACCTGGAGCCTTTAAACCAATATAGAAAACGCAGAGAGGTGTAAACACTGACACATACTGCTAGAGAAATAAGACCGGATCTAAACCCACCTTACCTCGTTCTCTCCAGACCAGGGAGCTATCGACCCTGTCTGAATTCAGTCTTTGTCTCTGAGAGGCCCCTCCACTAGTCTCCCCATCCTCCCCGCCACACTGGATGCCATTGGGCAGCCCCCGGGGGTCCTCAGGGGTCCCACACGGTGCCTCAGCGGGCCCCTCCTGATCGGACAGAGGGCTGTGGCTCTCCCCCTCCACTTCCTCATCCAGGTCCAGACAGTGGTCAGTGTGTACCTCAGAGCCCTGGACCAAACACACATGCATGAGGATTTGGAAATGATGCATGTAGTGTGTGTGTGTACTTGCTTTGTTTGTTCTTGTCTGTACACTGTGTGTGTGTGTGTGTGTGTGTGCACTCTTACCTCTTCCAGGCCAAACTGGTCCATAGAGTCACAGTAGACCTCGCTGTCTGAGTCACTAGTCACATGATGGGGCCTAGATACATCCACATCTATAGGAATAGATAGCACAACATACCATACGGGTCAGCTTCGGCTCTTAGCCATATGGGAACCTTCCCTCAGAGAGATGTTTGTGCTAGCAGGACCCATTAAGAAGCAACACAAATGCAACCAGTGCAGAGGCCTGTGCGCCATTAGCATTATATGTGTTCTGCATTCCAAACGCATCCTTTCTCAAGGTGATCATTTATTTGATGTGAGGAGATGGTGAGAGGTCTAAAGTAATCAAAAACAACTGGCCCTAGACCAGATCAGCTTTTAGGGGGATAATGTCATGGCAACCCATCAGAGCAGGTAGTCTGTCTGTTCCCAGGGAAGTGCTGAGTTGCAACAGCTCTGGGAGTAAAGCTGAGCAGCTTATTGGATCACACAGCCAAGGATCCATGAGGACAACCGCCCACTGTGGGCAGGCAGGGTGCAGATCTACAGAGGCCTGAGTATCCATTTTGAAACCTTTTTTAGACATCTGTTTAATGGACGATCTGGATTAGGCCTATAACGCCTGCTTCTTGTTTTAGAGAGTAACGTTGATATTCAGCATACTAGATATCAATTGGCAAACCTGAATTGTATCCAAATTCAATACTTAAGTTCTGTTCTAACAGAACTCTAGGACTGATATCCACTGTAATAGGTACGTCTATGTCTAGTGGCGGCAGGTAGCTTAGTGGTTAAGAGTGTTGTGCCAGTAATCGAAAGGTCGCTGGTTCTAATCCTCCGAGCCGACTAGGTGAAAAATCTGTCGATATGCCCTTAAGCAAGGCACTTAACCATAATTGCTCCTGTAAGTCTCTCTGGATAAGAGCGTCTGCTAAAATGTAAATGTAATTTCTATGTGGTCCTCTGTAGCTCAGCTGGTAGAGCACGGTGCTTGTAACGCCAGGGTAGTGGTTTCGATCCCCGGGACCACCCATACACTAAAATGTATGCACGCATGACTGTAAGTCGCTTTGGATAAAAGCGTCTGTTAAATATTATATTATATTATATTATGTATACATTACAACCATAAAGAAATGTAATAATCATCATGCACCTGATTGGTTAGTTTCTACCCTTTTCTACAGCGCCTGAAATACCTATTGGTTACCACAGGGAAAGAGTTTCTACCTTTTAAATAAATAGTAAGTTATGCTCTTGAAAAGCGCAAATTTACAATGTACAATCCTGCGGTCATGGATAAAAGACTTAAGGCCCATGTGCACAGGGAACTCAAACCATCAGCCATGGTAAAGCATGCAAAACATTCTAACTAACTGAGACGGACTGCAGTATGTCACTGGTGTCAATGCAACATGAAGTGCTACCCAGAGCCATCTACTTAAGAGAGTTGGGTCACCTTTCAGAATTTTCAATAATTGTTCTAATCCTAGACATTCCGTTAAAATAGCATTGTTTAAATATCCCCCACGTGATGTTAATTGAGCGCTAACATGTTTCAACTCTCTACAACACGTGGCTCTGGTGGTCCCCACCTGCGTGGTGGCCGTTGACCTGGACATGGGGCTCCAGGGGCAGGGTGCTGCTCAGGAGGCCCTCCTCCGAGTCCTCACTGTTCAGGGCAGCCTTGGAGGTGTGGGTCCCATTGGAAAAGTGGCCCTTCCCGTTCCCCACATTACCGTTGGACAGGGGAACTTTAGGTCTCCTGGAAGAGCCCTTTTTCTTTGACTTTTCTTTCGCTGAAAGACATTTTCTAAATATATTATTACAAGAAGATTATTTTCTGTTTAACGTTTTCCTGTTTTTTTTGTTATTGTTCTTTTCTTGTTCAAATGTTCGACAACACACCTTTTTTCACTTCCTTTATCTCAACAATTTCTTCCTCTTCCATCTCATCTTCCTCATCAAACTCCTCTTCCTCCCCCTGTTCCTCCACTGCCATGACTTTGGGCTTTGGAGGCTCGACCGCCGGTCTGGGTGGCCTTGTCTCCAAAGTGCCATTAATTTCCATTGTCCTAATGATGCTCCTTGTGACACTTTTTGAAGGCGCTGATGTAAGCATGGTCCCAAAACCTGTAGCATAGAAACAACTGTGTTACAATGATATAGAACTATAACTTTATGTTACTGCTAGTTTCATTTAGCCAAACAAAGAGATATACACTGTACCAGGAGATATACCAGGAGATATACTAGGAGAATAGGGAGATATACCAGGAGATATACCAGGAGAATAGGGAGATATACCAGGAGATATACTAGGAGAATAGGGAGATATACCAGGAGAATAGGGAGATATACTAGGAGAATAGGGAGATATACTAGGAGAATAGGGAGATATACCAGGAGAATAGGGAGATATACTAGGAGAATAGGGAGATATACTAGGTGAATAGGGAGATATACCAGGAGATATACCAGGAGAATATACCAGGAGATATACTAGGAGAATAGGGAGATATACTAGGAGAATAGGGAGATATACCAGGAGATATACTAGGAGAATAGGGAGATATACCAGGAGATACACCAATTGTGCAAGTTCTCCCACTTAAAAAGATGAGAGGCCTGTAATTTTCATCATAGGTACACGTCAACTATGACAGACAAAATGAGATATTTTTTCTCCAGAAAATCACATTGTAGGATTTTTAATGAATTTATTTGCAAATTATGGTGGACAATAAGTATTTGGTCAATAACAAAAGTTTCTCAATATTTTGTTATATACCCTTTGTTGGCAATGACACAGGTCAAACGTTTTCTGTAAGTCTGCACAAGGTTTTCACACACTGTTGCTGGTATTTTGGCCCATTCCTCCATGCAGATCTCCTCTAGAGCAGTGATGTTTTGGGGCTGTCGCTGGGCAACACGGACTTTCAACTCCCTCCAAAGATTTTCTATGGGGTTGAGATCTGGAGACTGGCTAGGCCACTCCAGGACCTTGAAATGCTTCTTACGAAGCCACTCCTTCGTTGCCCGGGCGGTGTGTTTGGGATCATTGTCATGCTGAAAGACCCAGCCACGTTTCATCTTCAATGCCCTTGCTGATGGAAGGAGGTTTTCACTCAAAATCTCACGATACATGGCCCCATTCTTTCTTTCCTTTACACGGATCAGTCGTCCTGGTCCCTTTGCAGAAAAACAGCCCCAAAGCATGATGTTTCCACCCCCATGCTTCACAGTAGGTATGGTGTTCTTTGGATGCAACTCAGCATTCTTTGTCCTCCAAACACGACGAGTTGAGTTTTTACCAAAAAGTTCTATTTTGGTTTCATCTGACCATATGACATTCTCCCAATCCTCTTCTGGATCATCCAAATGCACTCTAGCAAACTTCAGACGGGCCTGGACATGTACTGGCTTAAGCAGGGGGACACGTCTGGCACTGCAGGATTTGAGTCCCTGGCGGCGTAGTGTGTTACTGATGGTAGGCTTTGTTACTTTGGTCCCAGCTCTCTGCAGGTCATTCACTAGGTCCCCCCGTGTGGTTCTGGGATTTTTGCTCACCGTTCTTGTGATCATTTTGACCCCACGGGGTGAGATCTTGCGTGGAGCCCCAGATCGAGGGAGATTATCAGTGGTCTTGTATGTCTTCCATTTCCTAATAATTGCTCCCACATTTGATTTCTTCAAACCAAGCTGCTTACCTATTGCAGATTCAGTCTTCCCAGCCTGGTGCAGGTCTACAATTTTGTTTCTGGTGTCCTTTGACAGCTCTTTGGTCTTGGCCATAGTGGAGTTTGGAGTGTGACTGTTTGAGGTTGTGGACAGGTGTCTTTTATACTGATAACAAGTTCAAACAGGTGCCATTAATACAGGTAACGAGTGGAGGACAGAGGAGCCTCTTAAAGAAGAAGTTACAGGTCTGTGAGAGCCAGAAATCTTGCTTGTTTGTAGGTGACCAAATACTTATTTTCCACCATAATTTGCAAATAAATTCATTAAAAATCCTACAATGTGATTTTCTGGATTTTTTTTCTGTCTCAATTTGTCTGTCATAGTTGACGTGTACCTATGATGAAAATTACAGGCCTCTCTCATCTTTTTAAGTGGGAGAACTTGCACAATTGGTGGCTGACTAAATACTTTTTTTCCCCACTCTATACTAGGAGAATAGGGAGATATACTAGGAGAATAGGGAGATATACCAGGAGAATAGGGAGATATACCAGGAGATATACAGGAGAATAGGGAGAATAAGACTAGGAGAATAGGAGATAATACCAGGAGATATACTAGGAGAATAGGGAGATATACCAGGAGATATACTAGGAGAATAGGGAGATATACAGGAGAATAGGAGAATAGGAGATATACTAGGAGAATAGGGAGTTCAGAGTATACTAGGAGAATAGGGAGATATACCAGGAGATATACTAGGAGAATAGGGAGTATACAGGAGATAATTACTAGGAGAATAGGGAGATATATACGGGAATAGGGAGATATACAGAAATATACAGGAGAATAGGGAGATATACAGGAGATATACTAGGAGAATAGGGAGATATACCAGGAGATATACTAGGAGAATAGGGAGATATACCAGGAGATATACTGGGAGAATAGAGGAGATATACTAGGAGAATAGGGAGATATACCAGGAGATATACTAGGAGAATAGGGAGATATACCAGGAGATATACTAGGAGAATAGGGAGATATACTAGGAGAATAGGGAGATATACTAGGAGAATAGGGAGATATACCAGGAGATATACCAGGAGAATAGGGATATATACTAGAAAATATACCAGGAGAATAGGGAGATATACTAGGAGATATACTAGGAGAATAGGGAGATATACCAGGAGAATAGGGAGATATACTAGGAGATATACTAGGAGAATAGGGAGATATACCAGGACATATACCAGGAGAATAGGGAGATATACCAGGAGATATACTAGGAGAATAGGGAGATATACTAGGAGAATAGGGAGATATACCAGGAGATATACTAGGAGAATAGGGAGATATACCAGGAGATATACTAGGAGAATAGGGAGATATACCAGGAGATATACTAGGAGAATAGGGAGATATACCAGGAGATATACTAGGAGAATAGGGAGATATACCAGGAGATATACTAGGAGAATAGGGAGATATACCAGGACATATACCAGGAGAATAGGGAGATATACTAGGAGAATAGGGAGATATACTAGGAGAATAGGGAGATATACCAGGATATATACTAGGAGAATAGGGAGATATACTAGGAGAATAGGGAGATATACTAGGAGAATAGGGATATATACTAGGAAATATACCAGGAGAATAGGGAGATATACCAGGAGATATACCAGGAGAATAGGGATATATACTAGGAAATATACCAGGAGAATAGGGAGATATACCAGTAGATATACCAGGACATATACCAGGAGAATAGGGAGATATACCAGGAGATATACTACATAACCAAAAGTATGTGGACACCTGCTCGTCGAACATCTCATTCCAAAATCATGGGCATTAATATGGAGTTGGTCCACCCTTTGCTGCTATAACAGCCTCCACTCTTCTGGGAAGGCTTTCCACTAGATGTTGGAACATTGCTGCGGGGACTTGCTTCCATTCAGCCACAAGAGCATTAGTGAGGTCGGGCACTGATGTTGGCCGATTAGGACTGGCTCGCAGTCGGTGTTCCAATTCATCCCAAAGGTGTTCGATGGGGTTGAGGTCAGGGCTCTGTGCAGGCCAGTCAAGTTTTTCCACACCGATCTCCACAAACCATTTCTGTATGGACCTCGCTTTGGGCACGGGGGCATTGTCATGCTGAAACAGGAAAGGGCCTTCCCCAAACTGTTACCACAAAATTAGAAGCACAGAATCGTCTAGAATGTCATTGTATGCTGTAGCGTTAAGATTTCCCTTTACTGGAACTAAAGGGCCTAGCCCGAACCATGAAAAACAGACCCAGATCATTATTCCTCCTCCACCAAACATTACAGTTGGTACTATGCATTCGGGCAGGTAGCGTTCTCCTGGCATCCGCCAAACCCAGATTTGTCCATAGGACTGCAGGATGGTGAAGCGTGATTCATCAGTCCAGAAAACGCGTTTCCACTGCTACAGAGTCCAATGGCGGCAAGCTTTACACAACTCCAGCCGATGCTTGGTATTGCGCATGGTGATCTTAGGCTTGTGTGTGGCTGCTTGGCCACGGAAACCCATTTCATAAAGCTCCCGTCAAACAGTTATTGTGCTGACTTTGCTTCCAGAGGCAGTTTGGAACTCGGTAGTGAGTGTTGCAACCAAGGACACACTATTTTTACGTGCTATGCGCTTCAGCACTCGGCGGTCCCGTTCTGTGAACTTGTGTGGCCTACCGCTTCGCGGTTGAGCCGTTGTTGCTCCTAGACGTTTCCACTTCACAATAAAAGCACTTACAGTTGACCAGGGCAGCTCTAGCAGGGCAGAAATGTGATGAACTGACTTGTTGGAAAGGTGGCATCCTATGACGGGGCCACGTTGAAAGTCACTGAGCTCTTCAGTAAGGCCATTCTACTGCCAATGTTTGTCTATGGAGATTGCATGGCTGTGTGCTCCATTTTATACACCTGTCAGCAACGGGTGTGGCTGAAATAGCCGAATCCACTAATTTGAAGGGGTGTCCACAAACTTTTGTATATACAGTGCATTCGGAAAGTATTCAGACCCCTTTACTTTTTCCACATTTTGTTACATTAAATTATATTTTTCTAAAATTGATTAAATTGTCTCCCCCCTCATCAATCTACACAAAATGCCCTATAATGACAAAACAAAAACTGGTTTTTAGAAATTGTTGCACATTTATTACAAATAAAACACTAATATATATAATTTACATACACTACCAATCAAAAGTTTGGACACCTACTCATTCAAGGGTTTTTACATTTTTACATTTTAGTCATTTAGCAGACACTCTTATCCAGAGCGACTTACAGTTAGTGAGTGCATACATATTTCTTTATTTTTACTGCAATTTCTGAGGCTGGTAACTCTAATGAACTTATTATTATTATTATTATTATTATTATTATTATTATAATATGCCATTTAGCAGACGCTTTTATCCAAAGCGACTTACAGTCATGTGTGCATACATTTTTGTGTATGGGTGGTCCCGGGGATCGAACCCACTACCTTGGCGTTACAAGCGCCGTGCTCTACCAGCTGAACTACAGAGGACCACTTATCCTCTGCAGCAGAGGTAACTCTGGGTCTTCCATTCCTGTGGCGGTCCTAATGAGAGCCAGTTTCATCATAGCGCTTGATGGTTTTTGCGACTGCACTTGAAGAAACTTTCAAAGTTCTTGAAATGTTCCATATTGACTGACCTTCATGTCTTAAAGTAATGATGGACTGTCGTTTCTCTTTGCTTATTTGAGCTGTTCTTGCCATAATATGGACTTGGTCTTTTACCAAATAGGGCTATCTTCTGTATACCCCCTACCTGCACAGCTATTTTCAGGTCTCTCCAGAGACGTTCAATCGGGTTCAAGTCCGGGCTCTGGCTGGGCCACTCAAGGACATTCAGAGACTTGTCCCGAAGCGACTCCTGCGTTGTCTTGGCTGTGTGCTTAGGGTCGTTGGAAGGTGAACCTTCACCCCAGTCTGAGGTCCTGAGCACTCTGGAGCAGGTTTTCATCAAGGTTCTCTCTGTACTTTGCTCCGTTCATCTTTCCCTCGATCCTGACTAGTTTCCCAGTCCCTGCCGCTGAAAAACATCCCCACAGCATGATGCTGCCACCTCCGTAGGGATGGTGCCAGGTTTCCTCCAGACGTGATGCTTGGCATTCAGGCCAAAGAGTTCAATCTTGGTTTCATCAGACCGGAGAATCTTGTTTCTCATGGTCTGAGAGTCCTTTCAGTGCCTTTTGACAAACTCCAAGCGGGCTGTCATGTGCCTTTTACTGAGGAGTGGCTTCCGTCTGGCCACTCTACCATAAAGGCCTGATTGGTGGAGTGCTGGAGAGATGGTTGTCCTTCTGGAAGGTTCTCCCATCTCCACAGAGGAACTCTGGAGCACTATCAGAGCGACCATCGGGTTCTTGGTCACCTCCCTGACCAAGGCCCTTCTCCCCGATTGCTCAGTTTGGCCGGGCGGCCAGCTCTAGGAAGAGTCTTGGTGGTTCCAAACTTCCATTTAAGAATGATGGAGGCCACTGTGTTCTTGGAGACCTTCAATGTTGCAGAAACTATTTGGTACCCTTCCCCAATCATGCCTTCTAAATCATGTCCAATCAATTTAATTTACCACAGGTGGACTCCAATCAAGTTGCAGAAACATCAAGGATGATCAATGGAAACAGGATGCACCTGAGCTCAATTTCAAGTATCATAGCAAAGGGTCTGAATACTTATGTAAATAAGGTTTTTTATTTTTTAAATACATTTGCAAAAAAATTTAAAAACCTGTTTTCGCTTTGTCATTATGGGGTATTGTGTGTAGATTGATGAGGAAAAAATGTTATTTAATCAATTTTAGAATAGGGCTGTTACGTAACAACATGTGGAAAAAGTCAAGGGGTCTGAATACTTACCCAATGCACTGTATACCGGGAGACATACCGGGAGATAAATTCTAATTTAACCACACTATGAGATATAAAGCTAAAATAAAACATGTAAAAAAGCTAATTATACTGAACTACAACACCAGACATAACTAAAAAGGTCCGGGCATTGTGGGTTAAATACACATCTATAGACTTGCCTTCAAGTTGCCTAGCAAATTTTGTCAAACGGGCTGAGCACATGATAGAAATGGATAACTTAGTATGGAAGACATGCCAAATCAAATCAAATCAAATTCATATGAAATCAAATGAGAACAAAGGTGGTGGCAGTACCTGGGGTCAGGTCTGACACCTGATTGATCTTCTTTTTCTCTTCCACCTGTTCATAGAAGGGACCCAGCACCTTCAGCAGCTGCTCTACCTCATCCGTGCAGGGCATGCCCTCAAGGATCTGTTGTTTGAACACGACAACAAACACATTCAGTGCCCTCTGACGTCCACTGACATCCAGGCCATCCTGTCCGAACGTCATTTAGACAGATTTTTTTTTTTTTATCAACAAAATGATCCACCTCCGGGTTGGGAGTCAATTCCTTTTAACTTAATTGAACTCAAGGGAATTTCAATTCAAGAATAGAATTCCACTTGCTTCCTGGATTCATCAACAATCTATTAGAATACCCTGCCAATGCTGTTATGCTGACTTCTGCATCGACATTCATATCCGTTCAAGATAAAAACACTTACCAGCTTCAATTCATCAACGTAAGCAGCCATTGCCTCTTCCTTGAGCATTTCTCCCAGATCATTCCATGCATCCCTAAATAGACAGAACAAGATGTTTAACATAACACCCACATTGACAGTCTCCTACCTAGAGTATATTGCCTTAAAAATCATGTTAATGCCTCTTCAAGTGATAATACAGGTTAATATTTAGTTAGTTATCAGTGACAGAAACAACTGCTTTTAAGGATCTTGGGTATTGTGATCCAGTTGCTTTAAATTATTTAACACTTATAGACATAATGGGCATAACGAACACTGAAATAGGAGCCATGGACAGCACGTAAAGTCCTTATAGTTCAGATCATCATGTCATTTGTTATCAGCAGAGTATCCACTTGGTCAATGACCCGGATGCTCATCGAGCTAAGCGGTAGCTGGGCCTGTCAGCTCTATAAGTAAGGCTCAGTAAAGCAATAACAGTCTAAACGTCTTCATAGCTAACCGATTATAAAACAGCTGCATTGTCATTTCTTAAAAAGAGGATTCCCTCAGTGGCGCGATTTTCTATAAAAAAAAAAAAAAAAAAAGTAAAAACAGTCAACTCCTGCCAAGTGGGTGAAAGGTGACATGACATATCATGCCTCTTCAGCACAACGGGTCCAGAGTTTATCAGACGAAAATGTGGCAATAGGAAAGTTAACTGCAAGGACTACAATACAGACAAATCTCTGTCGTCGTTAGAAGATACCTATTTGACTCCTACTGTTCTCTTTGCGTTACCATTTCACTTTGCCCATGGGGTCCCAGAAACCAGGTCTGGGTATGTTGCAGGGTCCTAGTGTGGATTGTTTGTAGTAACTGTAAAACTTGAGCATCATGTCATTAGAGGGCTGAAAGGAACCTGGAATGGATACACAAAATAAAAATGCAGAATATATATTGGCCTGAGATGAGGATGAGGCGTGTCAATGAGAGGTATGATACCTCAAACAGAGTGGTACCCAGGCTAAGACTACATCACTTTGGGGTAAAAACATGGTCTTAGTATTTCAAAAGGCTTTTGGAAAACTCTGTAGGTTCCACACAATGCATTTCATTGTCATGTTATTCAGGCGTATAAAAATATACCTACTCCCAGAGAGCTTTGGAATGTAGGTTAACGTAATTGGCTTTAGGCTACAATGTTGCATATAGCCCTTGTAGCCCTTACCGTCTGGAGGCAAGCTTTGTATCACTTTGACAGCGGCATCAAACCTCCGCTCGTACAAAGGTTTTCCATCCTCGATCTCCATCATGACACACAGTGTGAATTACGATAACGAACTCTTCAAACCTAGGGATAATCATTATTAAAAGTGGTCAGACAGGAAGGCACAACATGAGAGTTGAGTATGGGTTGCAGAAATATATGTTGTGGTTTACAGCTAGGTCATACGCCCATGATAACACTGGTCAAATAATATAACAACCGTTCACAATAACATAAAAGTACTTCAAATATAGAAGTACTATCGGTGACTTATTGACAACAAGCCCGTAACAGCTAAGCTAAACCAAAACCACAGGTAAGGTTATGTCGTCTGTGAAATGTTGAGCACCCAATGCAATAGAGACAAAACAAATGGTTAAAAAAAAACATCCTAATCATTTACCTTTCTAATGAACACAACAAATATATACACTGCACTCGGTAAATAAGCTCAGTAGGCTACGTTTGTCACTCACCATTTAACAATCTAGCGTTACTTGCTTGAGACCCCGATTTACCAACAGAAGCCCATGCGCAATACAGCAGTGACAGGCACTGCATGCTATGGGAGTTGTAGTTTTCTACTGCCAGGATGAAGATAAATATGTTCTTTATTATTACACCAAAATCCCTACAAGCTCCACATTGCACCAGCCACAGTGCGAGTTTACAGGATATGTAGTTCTAAATGCTGTTTATGGTGGATTGTGTAATTGACCTAAAAACAAATGTATGGTAAAGGGATGTAGCCAACACAATACTATGTGTTGTTGGCCACCGTAAGAAATGTCACAAGCGCATAAAAAATCGTCATGCGTTGATGTTTAGTATAAAATGTGAGGATTTTTTGCCGATCGGAAGCCCGGACAAGTATACATTGCAGCACTACGTATCCCAGCATTCTACACGGTGATCCATATTTTGGTCAGAGGAAGAGGAGAAGCGAGAGGGACAGTAGTTACCACAGACACAAAGTCCTAAACCCCGCCTATTTCTACAATGTATCTTCTTAAAATGTGATTTTAAGTTATACCCTAACCACACTATTTATTTTATGCCTTACGCTAACCTTAAATTAACACGAAAAAGCTCGTTTTTGTTTTTATTACATTTGATGATATGATAGCCAATTTCGACTTTGTGACTGTGGTAATTAGTGACAATCTGGAGAACTGGGCCCATAATCTGTTTTCTCCAGCAGGTGGCGTTTTTTTTTTGCTCACAAAGCGAGTAGTTTTTGTATGGAGGTAGATTAGGTCGAATTGGCTTAACAAGAAATTGAATGACTTATTTGCTACGTGTGATTTATTTGATCGAAAATAGGTTTCGTAATGCGTAGGTTGTTACGAGTGTACTGATATAAGTAGGACACGTGACATCCCAGCAACTTTGAGGAAAAACACTGTTGAATACCCTTCTCATTGGCTAGAATGGTCCCACCTGATCTTGCCTCCTCCCGACTGCCTTCCAGTTTTTAAGAAATGTTTTTTAATTGTTAGAGCGGACACTAGAGTATCTGGTCAATATAATGGATCATCTGTGGTTTAGTAGTTTTTTTGCGGGTGGTTGCGCCTATGTGAAAGCGAGGCCGTTGCAAAATGTTTCGTCTGTTGCAAAACGTTTTTCAACGGAAACCGTTTAGGCCTTCGCCAAACGGAAAACGTTTTGGAACGAAAACGAGAGTTTCAATTGGTCAAATTCGCCGTTTCGTTCCGTTTGGTCTGTTCGCTTCCCTTTAGTTCCTAGACTAAACGGTCAACTGTTTATGTTGCAAAACGTTTTGCAACTGAATCCTACTAATGAATACACCCCAGGAATCCCACAATACTAGGCGAAGGAGTTTCTTCTTTTTTTCGTGGCAGAGCTGGTTGTTTCAAACCTCAGTCAAAGCGAAAGCAGAAGTCGCTATGCTGGGAGATGTAAGATGGCAGAGCTGCAAATGTTGTTAGAGGAAGAAATTCCAGCCGGCAAAAGAGCTCTTGTAGAGAGTTACCAGAATCTCACACGGGTGGCAGACTACTGTGAAAACAATTATGTTCAGGTAAGCAAAAGGAGTGATTTTACTCAACATTGTTATCTCTGAATTCTTGTCGTTGAACGGGTGGGAAACTGGGGACAGGAAATGTAGATAAAGAAATTGAAAGGATCCCAGTTAATGACCACAGTACTAGATAATAGAGATTACACATCCTTAAAGAGTCTTTGCCCATTTCAGTGTGTAGTTTGAAACGCACTGGACACGTTGGACACAGTCTTGCCCATTCATTGCATTGTTTTGTTGGTCCCCTTGATCGTTTTAGTTAGTTTACACAGAGGGTGTGTCTAATACTAACTTCTGCTGTTATCTTCGTTTAATAAAAAATCAAAATGTACCAAACTAAACCGCTGTTGAAAGATTCACTGAAAGGTGATGTACTACACAGGTTTAATCTGATTGTTACATTGTTACAAAGTAGAGGAGCAGTTGTGCTCGCGATTACACTGGCATTGCTTACTAACTGTCCCTTACAGACACTGAGAGAGCTTGTCATTTCATTTCCATTTATTTACTTATTTATTACACATATTTTATTAGGATTTGCTGTGATATATTTGCAATACGTGGACTATGATATTGTAAGCAATTGCTAACGTATACATTTCAAGGCATTTATAAGAAGTGTATTACTGTTTGATGCAATTAGCCTATAGGTTCACACACAAAAACAACCAAGCCAATCACTGCTTAGTATTTTCCCAAATACTTCTATCTGGCGAACATCAGACGTTTTGAGCTCGTTTTTCACTGAACGGCTTCTGAAATTTGCCCCAAATGATTGTGTTATCCTTTAACTAAGTTCCACAGATTGTGAGTGTTGGAATTTGGTTGTGGTTTCACAAATTCCATAGATGCAAGGACAACTGAACTTCAATTATTTTACAGGGTTCTTTTATGTGTGACCTCAGCCTGCCAAGTTTGCTTTGACTATATTTGCTGCATTATAATTACTTTAATTGTGGGCTAGCAGCTGAAGTTATTGATAGGTAAGAATTTGGACCATAGCTTTGCAAACTGTATTTTATTGGCCCGTTAAGAGAATGTCAAAGCTGATTTTGTAATTTAGTAGATTGATATTATGATTTGGCGTCTGACCTACAAAAATCGAAACTGTAGGCAAGACCTGATTCAATCTCAGGGATTTATAAAGATGAGTGTTTGGAAATTCATTATTTTAATCCTATGCTGTGAATATACAATACAAGCGCTCTCTAGATGTAGGTGTTGATATGATGAGTTAAAATGGATTCCACTCAGTGGTTATGTTATAACATTTAGTTAACATGAATAAGTTGTTGCATAAGAAGACCTTTGATGAGCTATCTTTGTCCTAGTCAAGCACACTCCCCATCAGTGTGAAGAGGCTGTAGTTTGCTGCTGAGATCCACCTTGCTGCTGAGAATCCAGATGAAATGTTTAGGTGACCGACCATTAAAGAGTCCATAAACAATACAACATATTACATCAGTTATAAAGGGTTTTTCCAACTCCATGAGGACTGCTTATAGGGTATATCCATTTGAATTCAATCACTTTTTGACAGCATCCCTTTTGATTGAAACAAAACTTTCCATACATGTTTGCCCATGGAAGAAGTGGTCAGAAAGTGACTTTTGGGACCTGAATGCCAAAACATTCAGGAGGTAGAGCGCAGTGCAGAACAGTAAAGACAATTAGAGTATAGTACAGGTCAGTACACTAGACTATAGGTCAGTACAGTAGACCCGTAGAAGAGGTCCAGTTAGTACAAGTAGACTATGGTCATATAGTACAGTAAGACTATAGGTCGTATAGTAGAACTATAGGTCAGTATATTACATAGACGATAGGTCAGTAAGACAGTAGACTATAGGTCGTATAGTACGTAGACTATAGTTCAGTATGTACAGTAGACTATAGTCATATATCCCAGTAGACTATAGGTCAGTACAGTACAGAGAACTAAGGTCAGTATAGTACATTAGACTATAGTCAGTATATCCCAGTAGACTATAGTTCATATAGTACAGTAAACTATGGTCAGATAGTACAGTAGCCTATAGGTCCGTATAGTAACAGTAGACTATACGGTCAGTATATCCCAGTAGACTATAGGTCATATAGTATAGTAGATCTATATAGGTCATTATAGTACAGTAGACTATAGGTCAGTATATCCCAGTATACATATGTCAGTATAGTACAGTAGACTATAGGTCAGTACAGTAGACTATAGGTCAGTACAGTAGACTATAGGTCAGTACAGTAGACTATAGGTCAGTATAGTACAGTAGACTATCGGTCAGTATGTACAGTAGACAATAGTCAGTTAGTATAGCAGACTATAGTCCGTTAATAGTAGCAGTAGACTATAGGTCAGTATAGTACAGTAGACTATAGTCAGTATAGTAACAGTAGACCAATAGTCAGTATATGTAAGTAGACTAAGGTCAGTCATATTAACAGTAGACTATAGGTTCAGTATAGGAACAGTAGACCTATAGGTCAGTATAGTATACTATAGGTCAGTATAGTACAGTAACAATCATGTCAGTATAGTACAGTAGACAAGGTCATATAGCACAGAGACTATAGTCGTATAGTACAGTAGACTATAGGTCAGTATAGTAGACTATAGGTCAGTAAGTACAGTAGACAATAGGTCATTAGAGGACAGTAGACTATATGTCAGTACTAGCCACAGTAACTATAGTTCAGGGATAGTCCAGTAGACTATCGGTCAGTATGTATACTATAGGTCAGTATAGTACGTAGACTATAGGTCAGTAATAGTACAGTAGACTATAGAGTCAGTATAGTACAGTGCTATAGGTCAGTACAGTAGACTAAGGTAGTATATTAACATCGACTATAGGTCAGTATAGTAGAGAGACTGTAGGTCAGTATAGTAGAGAAACTGTAGGTCAGTACCGTATACTTTTATCGGTCAGTATATTACAGTAAGACCTATAGTCAGTATAGTACAGTAGAACTATAATCAGTATAGTACAGTAGACTATAGGTCGTAAGTACAGTAGACTATGGTCCTACAGTAAGACTGTAGGTCAGTATAGTAGAGAGACTGTAGGTCAGTATAGTAGAGACTGTAGGTCAGTATAGTACATAGAACTATCGTCAGTATATTAGAGAGACTATAGGTCAGTATAGTAGAGAGACTGTAGGTCAGTATAGTAAGAACTATAGGTCAGTACAGTAATCTATAGGTCAGTATAGTAGAGAGACTATAGGTCATTATAGTAACAGTCGACTATAGGTCAGTATAGTAGCAGTAGACTTATAGGTCATACAGTAGACCTATAGGTCAGTATAGTACAGTAGACTATAGTGGTCAGTAACAGAGACTATAGGTCAGTACCGTAAACTATAGGTCAGTATAGTAACCTAGACTATGGTCAGTCTCGTACATAGACTATAGTCAGTATAGTAGACTATAGGTCGTATAGGTACAGTAGACTATAGGTCAGTATAGTAGACTATCGTCAGTAGAAGTACAGTAA